ATTTTGCTAGGCATGTACATCCATTTCAGAATCTAATCATAGACAACTTAAATCTTTCCAATGTTACCCACATTAGTAATTGCAAAATAATAAACATGACAAAATTCAGATTAATAGGGCATCCTGCACAACTCAGATGGCGGGGAGAGCCCTCTGGAATTCTAAGAGTAATAGGTCTGTGTTTATTTCTCAACCGACGGCATAATGTGACTGATTTACAAGAGTTTAACTCAAGTGTTAATCTGACAGTGACGAAGAGCTTCTCAGTGGCAGAATCACTTACACTATCATATTAGTTGCCTCCTCTATTAAAGCAGTATGGTCGATAATTGGAATGCTTTTATGTCTAGTGGTTCTGACAAGGCTCTCTTTAGGTCACATATGGGCGGTCTGGCTTGCTGCACAGCTGAACAGTGGCAAATGATTTAAACTGAGAAAGTATTGTTCTCCTCGTATTATGGAGCAAGGGCAGTTCAAGGAAAGTAAGGCTCTGCACCGGCTACCTGCTGGTGTGTAGTAAAATAAGATGGACATGATACTGGGTTGGGAGTACAATTAAATCTATTTTGCACCAATGTGTTGGTGGACAGATGAGTTTCCACATGGCAGAGCTTTATGATCTTTAAGGTAGACTGAACTAATAGATTGGTGTGGAGCGCACTGAAGTTACTAAGGATGAGAAAGCAAGCAGCAGTACATTTGAACTACAGGTTTCTCATATGCTCCACGTCATGCTGAGTTTTTATAGCTCCTGGCTTTCAAAAAGCCTGTTTCAAAGAGGTTTGCGCTAGACTGGGCATGCAGTTTTGCTCTGCAGATATTGTCGCTACCGATTTAGTGGAATGCAATTAGGAAGCCTAAATTAAGTGGTAATGGAGAACCAGCTCTTGAAACTGGGGTTTCCACGGCAACCACTGCTTACAATACAGCCTTCAGTTAGTTTTCCCACTTTATCTGCAAAATGCACAATTGAGCTTTAAAACAGCTTTGTGCTGAAAAGCGCACTGTAAACAACTGTTTGCAATGAGAGTTTTACACTGTCTTTAAATACAACAAGCTATCAAATAAAATTTATTTGTCCACACTAATAAAAAAAAAAATAAAAAAATCACACAGTACAGAAAGCACTAAAGGGTCCAGAAACTTATTATGCATTCTGGAAATGTATATATAATAAAAAAATTCAAGATCTTGTGGGTCCTCAATTTGTCTTTTAAGTCTTATCATTATTCCTCAATTTTAAGACACATAATCCCATATTTCTCAGTAGTGAGAAGAACTGAGCATTTTGGTACAAATACTGCATTTATCGCAATAGCAACACTATATAGTTATAATGTGCTTTTTGTCTAATATGAACTAATAAATGTGTATTTTCATCAGACTTCCTTTAACATCTAGCAATCTTTTGCAGTTTTTTTTTAATTTTATAATACAATATTATATCCTTCAGAAATGTTCTTATTTTATGGCAAAGTAATGTTATGCCATTTCTGAAATACTTAACATTCTTGATTGCTTTAGGATCACAGCCCAACTTTTGCATCTTGTCAGAGGCAACCACAGGTGATTAAATATGCAGAAAATGAAGGAAAGTGAAAAGTATTATGTTAAGGTCATAGATATAAATTTTATTGACCACCCTTTGATAACTCCATCAAAATGTATCTCTAAGATGAAATTATGAAATTGCGACCAATCATTCATCTCTGTTGTACAATTGCAGGTACTGTCAGGTGATTGGTAAGAGTTGAGAGTTTGGCAGTTTTTAATTTTCCTTTTATTTTTTTCTCCCTTCTTATACATCTTTATTTTAATTAAGATAAAAATCTCAGGTAAACATTGTGCAAACTTCCCTGAGATAATTTCAGAAGAGATATCAAGGAATGCTGAGTTTTGGCCTAGCAGCTGATATGTACTCTTTCAAGGAAGCATTTTTTTGTAAAAGAGAAAGAGGATCCCCACAGCAAATCAAAACAGACCTAATTTGTGTCTCAGCTGAAGTACAGTAACCCAAGCATCTTTCAGGCTTTCAAGACTGATGTACTTTGTGTGTGTGTGTGTGTGTTTTAGCAACCCACTGGGTCGATGCAGAGAGAAAAAGGGTGTGGGGGTGAAGGTGGAGGGAAGGGGAGAGAAGGGGGAGGTGTGGGTGCCTTCCCTCAGGAGCCTGTTGGTCAGAGGACTGCATCTTGACGTCCACAGTCATGTATAAATCTGGATTTGATACAGTCTCTGCAGACTTTGAACATGCCAGGCAGGGAAGCTTGCCCTTCACAGTATGGGTGCACTTTCAGATTGGGCTGTGACTATTCTGATCTGCTCGAAAGAGCCTTTTCAGCACTAACCGAAAACAGAGTGAGGATAGCAAGGCTGATTGCAAAGTTCACATCTCCTCTGCTGTGTGCCGGTGCTAATGGGAGTTTCTCCTGTGATGGGTAGGTCATAAAACACACAGCTGCAGACACTGTGCAGGGTGAACAAATCAAAGAACTCAGTAATAAAAATGATGTGTGTGCCAATATTATTTAATATTAACTTGTGAAAACTGTTGAAGAAACACATCTTTGTCATATATCAGAATTGGCTCTAAAGCTGAATCAACGGATTAATAGGGTTATTTGTAATGATATTGTCCTCGTAAAGGCTTTATTATTTAGGAATCAGAGCTGGAAATTGTAATTCCTTTAATGATTTTTCATCACATAAATTAGCCTGCCTCAACTCCTCCGTCTAGAAGGCAAGAGGAGAGGTTGAGCTGGTCCTCTTCCTCATTCTTACGCAAAATCTGCTCATTTGGATGGATCCCAAATTTTAAAGAAACGAGTTCCTGGAAGAAATGCAGAATGCCAGTGCTCTCAAGACTTTCACAGGGCATCTCGTTTCAACACCGACTGCCTGCATTTTATCGGAGTACTAAAGGACACATTGAAATTATTTTGTTCTGGCACTGGCATGTGTTGTGATGTGTATGCATTCAATTGCACTTGACAAATCTTTGGGGCAAACAAAATGGTCTAATGTAAGGAAATATCTTAACATATTCCAAAATGACATTTTTAGACCAAACATGTGTTCGATTGATTTGCCTTCTCCAGAGATCACTTTTGAATGCAGGCCAGCAATAGGCGGAGGGGGGGCCGGCTCTCGCTGAAGGCCAGGCGGGTCAGCCGTGCTTCCGCTGGTATTTCCTGCGCCGCAGAGTCCCGTACCTAACTGTACAAATAGCTCCACATGGCATCCTGAGAGCGTGCCAGGGAATTTTATGATCGCACGCCAAGTATGGTTGTCAGGTTCCACTCCACTGCTGTGTGTGTATGTGTGTGCTCATATGTGTGTGTGGCTGAAGCTAACTTCAGACTGAGTAATTACCATAATCCAAACAGGGCCTTTACCATCTTATTTGCATTCAGCCAGCAGTGCTGTTTTTATCAGCACCACTACTGAATTGTTGCAAAGTTTTAATTATCTTGACAACTCTCCTTTTTTTTTTTTTTTTCATTCCTTTTTTTTTTCTCTCTCTCTCTCCCCTCTTGGGTTGTGTTTGGATTTTAGCAGTCATCCCCCTATGGCAGCAATCACATTTCTGCAATGGGAAGTTTCCTCACTTTTTCTTCTAGTATTTATAAGCAGCCACAAAGGCTGCTTAGAAGGGGGCAGAAATGGAGGGAGGTTGTATTTATTAGTTAATGCCTAATATTTTTTTCAGCAAAAGTCACTCCAGATGCCTCTTTTTGAATTGCACTTGAAGCCCTGGCGTAACTTTACACATGTGTGTAAGCTTGCAGAATTGAAAGAAAACCATTTCCTATGCAGAGAGATACCCCCCTGCATAAATGTTTGCCAAAATAGAGCTTTAGTTGTCATGTTTTCTATATTTCCATAATCTTTTGATTTAGGATTAGTATAAAGTGTATCATGTCACTTATATTTGCTCTCTCTCAAACAGCCTGCATTTTCAGTATTTGAATGCTGTTAGACAAATTCAACCTTGAAATAAGACACCGTCTCCTAGCAGTAAGGGTAATTAAACACTGGAAGAGCTTACCCAGGGAGGAGGTGGACTCACCATAGCTTGGAGTCTTTAAAATGAGATTAGACATCTTTCTGAAAGACACTGTTTAGTCCAGCTGCTTGGGAAAGATTCTCGTGCACATATACAGGGGGTCAGACGAGATGATTGCCAAAGTCCCTTTTGACTTCTCAGACCGTTGGTCTAGAAATCTGAGTTCAGGTATGTTTTGGTTCACATTTAAAGAGCAATTATAACGTCTACATACAAAAATTGTTTTTTGGGAACATTAAGACTAAATAGGTTTTAAAACTTTGTTGTCCCCTGCAGACAATATTGTTCTGCCTGCTGGGTTTTGCACTACCTTTTGTTTTGCTTTTATAAATAGTTACAAATCACAAAGGTTAATGCAGAATAAAATACTCCAGTATGAGATTGCTATGGAGGAATAGAAGGCTTTAAAGCCTAAAGATTCACAAGCAGAACAAATGCAAAAATGATTTCTAGTCTGTGGGTATCTCAGGTACAATAGATGTCTTAAAAATAAACCAAATTAATGTATTTTTGTAGCTATAGAATATTATGACTGTATTTAGCATCTCATCTCTTACAAAGTTTATGCATTATATTGCATATAATTGCCATCAAACAGTGTGGCAGTATTCTGTTCAATTGAAAGATAAACAAATTCCATTTAACAGTCCTTAGACATTTCTTTTGCTGCATTTTGGCCTTATGAACACCTTATCCTTGTTTTCCCTTTAAAAGGAAAAAAATTAAAGGTAAAAACCATTAGGGATTTCTCTTTAAATCCAGCAATCTACGCATACTACTAAGAATCAATGCTCTGTAAGCTGTCTGGTGTTCTGCAATAAATTCTAGCTTTTATAGACTTTTTCTGGGCCAGGTAGCTGTTAATGCCATAGAAATTGATTATTTGTGGTGTTCTTATCACTGCTTAAAATATCTAATTGCTTTTTCTCCACAGATTTGGATTTGGCTTGCTTGATGCTGGACGATTAATGAAGGAAGCCCTAACTGGACAAATGTTGGTCTCCTGAGACAATGTGTTGTTGATAACAGGTCTGATTTGAGCAAGTCTAGTCAAATTCAATTTTAATAGTATTTAAAGGCACACACAGGACACATATAGCTGAGCTTTTGGCTGGTTTGTCTGATTTTTATGTCTGTTGTGTTACCAAAGCTTATTCCCAAAAAGTATTAAACTTTGCAAGGCAGTAAAGACACATACCTGTCAGCTGCAGAGACCCAAATTTTGCATCAGTATAGCAGATTTTGTTCAAAATTTGCCTTTCTTCTTTCATACTTATGCAGACTGGAATATGTAATTCATCACTACATTACTGTTCCTCTGGAGGAATTATTTCACTCTGATTATTTTGAACCCTAAAACTTATTGATTGTGGTAAAGAAGAGACAAGAAGGTATTGCAATCAGTTCTCAATCTAGGGAGGGCAACCTATTTAAAGGCAGCTAATCCTTAGCCTAAAAGCTGTATGCAGTTGCTACTGCTCCTACAGGACTTTTCACATTGCTGTGCCCGTGTCATTTATGTGAAGTCAAGTACAAAACGTTTTCCACTGCACTACCAAATCAAGATAACCACCAAACATCAAGGTGCTATCTTATTGGATTGCTGCACTGAGTGTGACATTTAGCTCACAGCTCAGTCACAGCTTCAGCTGAGGAAAATAAAGGTCTCACATGCCACCAGAATTCTGGACTCTCATGAAGTCAAAGCAGTAACATCTAAAGTCAATAGGGTACTTTCCTTCTTCCAAGACTTCCAATTTCCTAGAGAGAGGTAAACCAGAGAGAAGTGGAACGTGAATCTATGCACACCTTGCACCTCTTCTAACCACAGTTCTATCTCTCTTTCTTTGTCCCCAAAGAAGGTTAAGGAATGAGAGCCTAATGGCCAGCTCCCTGCAGGTCCAGGTACGGCACTGTACATTGTTTAAGGCCACGTTTTGCAGAAGTGACTGTGTTTTCTTGTGTTTGTTGTCTTTTGTATTCTCTGGAGATAAAGGTAGAAATCTCAGAGGGGGAAGAAAAATGGATGGACATGGAAAGTCACGAACACAAGGTCATCCGTGCTCCAGCTCCAGCAATTATGTGTAATCATAGTTCTTTTCAACAAAGTGGCTCCTAGGCAGTTTGGGACCTGGGAGCCAGTCCTCTGGCTGATGCTAACAATGTTTGATTCAAATAAATCCATAACCCCGTTAGTATCTCTTGCAGCATTATCATAGTCACATCAGCGATGCTGTAAACTAATGTTTTACCTAACAGCCTAAATAGTGGCTTAGGCAGTGTTTCATGTATGTGAAGATACCCCGGGTTTGTCTCAAGACACAGAACAGTCAGCCTTGTCACTGCCACCTTGCAGAGATCCCCACCTTAGACACAATGCACTGAATCAGAGTGTTCCCTCTCTGCCCGGGGCATGTCATTCTTTAGGAAACATTTCAAGATTTATTAGTCTGGAGAAAACAAGAAACAGACCATCATTTACTTATTTTCCTGCTCTGCAGGTACAGAGCAGTCACCTACAATGAGCTCATCCCAAAAGCCACAGTGTCTTTTTGTTTATCAGTTTCAGCCAGATTAATGTTAAGATGGTCTGGGTGCAAACAGTTGGTTTTGTGCACCTATGGATCGATAACTTCTGCATGTTTTTCAATGTAGAAAAGGCAGTAATAAAGTAAAAACATGTAGTCCTGTGAGGTGATTGCTTCCCAAAGTTGTTTCTCTGTTCAACCCTGCAGTAATTCTCCAGCAAAGCAATGCAGAGAGTTACACCCCTGAGGAACAGGAGTACTCTTCCTTTTCTCTGTATCAATGTTATTAGTAAAAGGCACAGCAAGGAAGTCTGTTTCTCAATATTGTACCTACTTGAGGCTCCTGAAGGTATGATTAATTGGGAGTGATTAATTAAACCATGAGTCATGACCTCCTTTTTTTCCTGTCACATTACTTATGAACAAGAGGGAAGTCAGTGTAGTTAAATGGTATGAGATAGTAAATTTAGAGGAAATAAAAAGAAATTTGTTGTGTTGCCTGTGGTCAACCTGTGGGATTTCCTGCTACAGGTGACCATCTGATAAATAGGGTTCCTTGATTGAAAAGAATAGTTGTTAATGTTATTACCATAACTGGTGGAACCATCTCTTTATTTCTGGGACTTCTGGGTGCACTGGGAAGACAGAAATGAGTCCTGCTTGGCTAATAAAGTGAGAGCAAATGCACCATGTATTGGGAAGTCAGGCAGCAGTGCTGTTCTCCATGGACAACAGCACTACACTATTAGCTTGATCTATGAGTTGCCATTTCATGGTTTGGTTGGTTGTTTATTTGTCTGTCTTTTTAATTCCTCTGGAAAATACTGTACTGGCTCTCTCTGTTGACTGAATGACCAGGCTTGGGCAGAAGACATAGCATTCTTCTTCTCTGACCTTTATATCAAAATTGATTAACAATAATTCTTTTGCAGAAAAAGATTGACAATAAGATGTGGATGTTCATCTTTAATGAACTCTAGTCACCAAGTGGAAACCAGCTAGCTTTGATGGTGTAATAGAACACCTTCTCAGCAATAGCTGAATAACTTGCTCCTCAAAATGGTAAAGTAATGCTGTATTCATAGATAATATGAAGAACTACCTGTTGCTCTACTTGGATTTTTTGTTTCTCTCATATAATTTCTTGGGACCTTTCTCATTAGTGGCAATAGCAGGATATGCCGGCTAGTACATATAGATACATGTACAGCAGTTAGAAATGGTAATTAATAAGAATAAAATTAATAAATAAGAATTAGAGGCTGTGCAATCCTGTAAAATATTGAGAATTTTATGTTTATGTGCTTTAATCTAGTAAGAAATCCACTCATAACTTAATTGGTTTTGTTTGTTATCATGTTTGGCATTTTAGAGAAGAGTTCACTGGAAGGCGTCTATTTTATATTGTTCTCACTTTCTAATATAAGACTCTTATCTAAAAGACTCTTTGTTTTCAATTATGAAAATACTTTCCTGATCTCATTAAGCCAAAAAAAGATGAAGTGCTGATTTTCCTGTTTTATTTGTGACAATACAAATTAAACACACCTATGGCAAACCAATTACTGTGTTTATTCTTTTTGTACAGAGCAAGCCTGTTAACTGCGAATGTGAAGAGATGAAGCAAGCAAAAAAGAAAAAGTGTGAAGAGCTTTGCTGCCATGTCATCACTGTATCAGATAATTTTAGGATCAATGAGTGAATAGGCATGTAAGAGAGACTGTTTTTCTACAGAGAAGGGCTATTTCAAAGAAAGGGGGGGAAATTAAAAGGCACATCAGTACATTGTTATTATATGATGATGATATTAGAGAAAGAACTTCATTTGTCTTCTTTTAATTTTGGATCTTTACAGCAGAAGACTACTGCAGAGAGATCCAGGTAATAATATCTTTGATCTAATTGAGTGTTGCAACAGTACCAGTATTGTTGTTTTCTTGGAGTTACTCATGTAAGAGAAACCACTCTGCTGTGTAAGTTAAAGGTTCGCATTCTGTCCTTCATTTTTGCACTTTACATTATAAGACTCTTTGTTTTCTGTGGAGGTAAGATATCATCACCTTTGTTTAAGCAAGAAAGTGTTGATTTTCAAATTGCTTGAGATTTTTAATTATTGTGATTATAATTTAATGCTGCTGCAATGTTTCACATGCAGAAGTTATAACAGTGTAAATCACTTGGGATAACAGGCATAAATTTAAGGTTTTTTCTCTGAATATTCATAGTACACTGGAAACTGGGAAGTCAGGATTTCTCAAGATAAGACCATCTATTTCTGTGTTGGCCTCCATGGACCTACATGCTACATTCCCTTCCTCCCTTTTATACTAAAACAAGAAAATGTTTCCCTCACTAGCAGGGATTCTGTGGTTGTCTTTGACAGGCACAATTTGGTGATTCTAGTGCTGCACAAGACTGCTGCCTTGCAGAAGATATGGGGGATGTCTGGACTGTCGGCATCAAGTGCTTACTTTAAATGCCAGAGGTGGAAGAGTTCTGGAAAGAGCTGAAAAAATAAAAGTAGAGTAATTTGCACTTCACAGAAGTTTCTTTTAGAATAGAGACAGAAAGGGACTGAATGAGGCAGGAAGAGAAGCAAACATAGAGGCAAAGTAATGGCAAAAATTAAACATTAAATATTTCTCTTAACTGCAGTCAGAGATGGGGATTATATTTGACCAAAAAACCAACCTCCACAGCAAGTCAGAACTAAGACTAACTCCATTTTTTTATTTCAATACTTTCAGTAGAAAGGACCCTGTCAGTTATTCTCTGTGCACTGAATAGTGTACTAGTAACCCTAATAGACCTGGATGGTTTTGTTGTATCATCTGAGTGGTATAATACTTTACTGTAAATATAAATAGGATACTCATTCACCTTACCCAAGTTCCCAATGTGCTTTATAATAAACCAAGTAATTTTGACAGAAAGATGTTGACCAAACCTAGCCTAACAGCATTCACATAATTAACTCAATACTGACACAAATCCCATCCATTAAAAAAATGTCAGTGGTATTACATTTACTTTTACAATTTGAAGGATAATAGAGAAACGTAACAGATGGAGTAATAAAAGCCACGTAGTCCCTGCTCTTAAAGGGTCTCATCCAGAGCCTACAAAGGTAATACACCTACTCTTTTTGATTTTAATAAACTTTGCATAAGTCAAAAAATCATTGAAAATTAATAACAGGAAAAAGAATCACTCTGTTTATATTTGTTGGGTTATATCCATAATAAACTTGTAAAGCATTAAAACGATAGAAAACATTAAAACAAACCAAATACTAAATTTATTCTAGACTTCAAGATTACCTCATTTTCTGCTCCAACATAAGTGTGTGATGACTTTTCCAAAGCTTTTATTGAAAACATTTCTCTTCCCATCATGGAATAGTGCATCTTGCTTTCTTCTTGCAGCTGTTCCTTCTAGAGACATGAATCTTTGGACAAGCAGTTACCAACATCAGAGGGTAGTCTGGAATGTACCACCACCTGGGACACCAAAGGATTACAGATAGCTCTCATGGGAACTGCTGGGTGAGGGGCGGTGGGGGTCAGGAAAGCATCCAGCTAAATCAGAGTGCCCAGGAATGCCCCAGGGAACAGAAGTAAGGCCAAACATCACTTTTCCAAACACAGATTTTTGAGCTAATCCATATTTTCAGAAAGAGCAGATAGATTTTATTCTTACTGAGGATTTTTACCTGAAAATAAAAAAAAACGCTAGCAAGAGGACTATATGATTAGATCCTCATTCTGCATTTCACCAAAGGAGAACTGAGGAAAAGACAGATGAAGCGATTTTCTGGGGCAAGTTGAGCCCTAGGTCGAATTGGATCTCCTGTCTTGTTCAGAGGCTGCCCTTTCCTGACTGTGATGTGGAAGAAACACAGCCATTAACAGGCACCTGCAAAAATGCTCCACCTGTTTTTTCTCAAAGTGACAAAGCCCAGAGGACGATGTCTGTGTTCCCCGCAGGTCTGTAGGGAGCATGATGTAGCTGATGCAATTCCCGGCTCCAGCACACCTGCAAGGTCTCATTGATCTGCTGTTCAGTGCTCTGAAAACTCAGAAATCTATTATCAGTGTGAGAATGTGCTTATTGATCAGGTTACCTGCTTCTGCTCCCTGTGTGCGCCTAATTGCACAGGCGTACGCACACGCACACACACACGTAAATATTCACACATGTGTGCACAGACACAGGCACACACACATGGGTTAGGAGCATGTGTGTATGATAAAGGCTCTACCTTTTTTTTTTTTTTTAGCTTTACAAAAATGCACATAAATAAAAAGAATGGACCTTCCCCGTGAAACGTGAGCACAGAAACGCTCACAAGTGGCCAAGAGCTGCTAAATAATTAATCAATAGAGCAGTGTGGCAGTTTGAAATGTAAATGTGATGGATGAAGGTGTGATGCTTGTCATCAAGCAGAAAATGATGTGACTGGAATGGATAACCCACAGTACCTGCTAACTGGCAAAGGCTTGGACACAAAGATAAAGTAAAGCCATCAGAAAGCAGACCTGGCAACCCCTAATTCTTGCCTTTGACCCACAATTCACTTTCATGTCTCTGTCCCAGAAGAGATGTTTAAAAAAATGATGAAGAGAGATCTTGGGGTGGGAAAGGGGTAAGAAAAAAACCATCTGAAGAAATGCTACCTGACAAGGCTGCAGGCTACGTTCTTGAGAACACCTTTCTTTTCTTTATGTTCTCCTTCTCCTGTTAAATAAAAATGCAGCTCCTTTTTTCCCTTTCCTTTCTTCCAAAACTCTCCCGAGCCGTTCCTGCAAGTGGTTCTGTGACTCGGGAGCTGACAACAGCCGCATGCAAAGGAACAAAGAATGAGACTGACAATTCAGAGTGCACGCAGGTGAGAAAGACACCTTTTACTTATCAAACTAGGCTGCAAAAAATGCTCTTTTTACTCAGCGAGCTAGAAATAGCGGTGATCTAACAAGGCACTGATCCAAATTCTTTATTTATGCTGAGATGTAATGCTAACAGGATTTTTAGGTTGACTAGTAGTCTGTGGCCCCTCCATTCAAGTAAGGAAACATTCCTCTGATTTGGAAAGAGGAAAATCCATATAATTACCGTATATTATGTGACAGGAAAATGCATACACTGTGATGGCAAAGGGTGACAGAAAATGTCCATCAAAAAATTTGTTTTCAGTACCTTCCTATGCCAGTCATTGCATTCTCTCTGAAGGGAAACACAACATGATAGAACTCAATTGATCCAAATTTGAGAGAAATTAACTTTTGTAAAAAATGGGATTTTTTTGGATCCTGGTTTTTTCCCCCTATAAAATTGCAAGCCCACAAGTCAGATTTAAAAGTTCGATATCTCCTTCTCCCTGGAAAAGAGAAACCTCTTTCTCAGTAAGTACCATTTAGCAGGTGGGGGATTTTTTTCCTCTTTTGTTATCAAAAGCCCACTCTTTACAGAAAGTCAAAAATACCACAGTTTCATATTAGATTTTCAAACTCCCCAAAATATACATTAGCAGATAACACCCACTAAAAGTGAAAGCTAAATATAGATATTTAATAGTGCTTTGGCACACAAAATAGATGTTCTACCATTTCTTAGACATAAAATATACATACAAGTATTCTCTTAAAATCTTTTTGTGTTTTTTAAGACCTCTGCAGACATGAAGCAGCCTGCAGAAGCAGCAGATCTCCTGGTGAACTGAAGATGGCCAGTGTTTCCATATTCCTTCAAATGATTATTTTTACCTTTTTGTTTGTTGGGATCAGGTTTTTAATGCTTACCATAACTTTATGAAAGAGTCATCAAGATAACGCATAAGTATTTCTACACAAAAAAAAAAAATAAATAAAATAATAGGTGCCAAAATTAATTTTGGAAGTCAAGAATTAGAACTTACATTAAAATAGAACCCTTGTTTACCCAGCTCCATAGTAAGCAACTTACATTTTGTCTGGGACAGGTTGCTGATGTAAATCCATTGAAGGGGAATCTTTTCTTTAAGTTGACCACCTGGATAAGCTTTGAGCAGAGTGCCAGCTATCTATGTATACAAGGAATCACCACAGTCCAAGAAGTATTTCTCATTTAGAATGACAAAACTGTGATGTGATTGGTAATTCAGCTTGAATTTCATTTTTGGGGCATTTTAAGTTGTGTTTTCAAATTTGTCCTTTTGCAGTTTTCATCCAGCTCATGTCAGAGCCACTTAGCTGTATATATTTACTTACATAGCAGGCACATTCATAATAATTTTTAGTGTTTTTTCACAGCTTCACAAATGCAATATCCTCATAAGCAGGAATCAGACCTGAGAATATGGAAAAAAATATGAGTACACTCCTCTGTGGGACAGAGGAATGATCCCACACTTTACATCTGTTATGTTTTTGACGGGATCCGTTCATAGATTTTGCAGTGTTAAAAAGGAATTTGGTCTAATGGCTCACAAAGATTGATGCTGAGTATAAGCAATTGCTATATTGCAGTAATGTAGCAATATTTATCACTAGTAGGTCTTCTATTCCCTCATAAACTGCTGTAGAAGTGGAAAAGAGACATTTTAGCACTCTGTTGTCACTAAACTCACAGAAGTCCATTTCTGTAGCTCTAGTCTGTCTCAGCTCCAGAGGGCCTTTCAATAGAGAAATGACAGATTGGGCTGTAAAGGTGCCTCAGCCATCCCCAGGCTGAGGGAGAGGGAGTGGGAGGGAGAGGAACCCTCTCAGGCTGGAGAGAGCTGTGGTGTACGTGTCCTTGTGCCCAGACTGGAGGATGAGCTCACTGCTTACCAACCTAGTAATAGGAGCAGTGGTCCACTGTGGTAGGGATTGCACAGATGCAATTAGCCACTAGTTTCAAATGTCATAGAAGCAGGGGCAGCACCAGGACTGTACTTTCTTCCCCTTTTAAGTTCGCTAGGTATATTAAGGAAAGGGATATAATAATTAACCTGACAAAGGCAGAGCTAAAATACAGACCTGTGTCTTAAACCCCAACAGGGGCCTCCAGCAGCTGCCTACTGAAGAGAAGAAGCTGATAAGCTCCTAGCAAAGTGTCCAAGATCACTGTCCCAGCCCCCAGCAATTTGAAGCTTGGACACTTCCAGAATTGGGAAATTTTGCCTACCTTGCTGTAGCGATTACTGGTTAAATATACAGCCATGACTTGTCCATACAGGCAGGCTTTGTTTCACCTCCAGTGTTATGCCAAACTGGTTGTATATCATTGTGAAGAATAACTGCATATCCCCAGAGCTGATTTCCTATGGCACATTTCACTTAGATACTTTCTCAACACCCTCGCAAATATGTCATAGATCTAAAGCACAATCTCCGTTTCAAAATGAATGGGTCTGATTACAGGCATATTCATTTTGTAAAAGGTACAAAAGGATACAAATGTGCCTTTCCATCTCCTATAATGTCAAAGTAAGACCCTCTTGCCCTTTTATTTCAATCCCCGCAATTTGAAAATAAAAAAAATGACTTGATTATATGTTTTTTACCATTAAGTGTATAATTGCTTTTGTGTTTTGACATTTAATTCATCTTACCAAAATACATGGTAGGAATTAAAAGTCAAATCTTTTATGTATTTGATGTACAGAACCTTCCATGTATTTCAATAAGAGAGACAGAGCAGTGAAACCCCACGGCAGGTACAGTGAAGCCATCTGAAAATGAAGTCGCTTTTTATACTGTGGAAATCTGACTGTGGCCCCAGTTCTGCCCTCCCTTATCTAGGTCAATGGCTTTTGAAATCACTGGAAGGTCTGAATGAGTCAAAACCAAGCAAAACCTGCAGGACTTGACCTTTAAAATAGAGCTGGGATTATACCGTGCCCTCTTGGGCAGATTTTGAGATTACAGTCCAGTCTGAAAATTAGTTCTGAAAGCCATAAAACAGGAGTTGGCCAAGCACTCGAGTGTATTGACCTGGTATGGGATGGCAGTAGAAGGGAACACAGATCCCAGAAGCCAGCAGCCAGGGCATTAGTGGGGTATCTCAGTTGGCCCAAGGCCAGCAGGAGGATTCTGATGTTGAGACAGAAAGTGAACTCTGGGCTAACAAAAAGGTGTAGCTGCACACAATATGTTGCTTGTGGGTGTTTCATGTGGGTTTTATCTTCCCTTTGTCTTTTCCTGTAATGTTTTCCCACTTCATGTACTGTACTTCCCTCTGCTTCATTCTTCCCTCTCTTTTTCACAGTTTTCATATTTCTCCTTTTCCTCTGTTCTTCTCTTTCACTACTTGTGCCCTTTATTTGAATTTTCTCACTCCTTTCTTCCCTGTACTGCATGCCAAATTCTCCATTTTTGCCTTAATTTCTGTTCATACTCATTCTGAAGCTTTAGTTTGGGACTTCTTCTGACTGTACTTCCTTCCACTGGTCACTCTACTGTGATTTATCCCCATTCACTCAAGTCACAAAGTGACTTGACCCTACAGCCATAGCTGGGATTAGTGCCCTAAGGTTCAGATTTATGGAGTCCAGTGCTGTCTGACAAAGTTTTCTGCAATCTGGGAAGCAGACTCTGGGACATCAGGTGAATTGATCTTGGGACTGAATGAGCCAGGAATGTTGATGGTAGGCAGTAATTGCAAACAAGAGCTCAGCAATCCTCTCCCCAGTGTTGGTATTCTCACTCACAAATTCTGTCATGCCTTCACGATGTTCTAACAAAAACTGCTGCTCTAGGAGAATATGCTCTTGGAGTAAGATTTGTGCTTTCCCCTTTTCCCAAAGCCAGGGACATAATTTTCTTTCTTTCACCTCAGGAAAGATGCCATCAACAAGGATAATGGACAATATAAAAGGAATCCAGGAAGAGAAGTAAAGGAGCAGGAACAGTTGCATCAGGAAGAAGCAAGTCAGAGAGAGAGGGGAGGGGAGAGTGGAGGGGAGAGAGAGAGCTGATAGTATCTCCACAACAGTTGTAAGTGCCACCATATCTCATGGAGGCACACTTAGCTCCCCATAATGAAAGCAGCTTGCATTGCATGGGTGCCAGCCACACAAATGCTGGAAGTTGCCTCGCTTTGGCCATCATGTGCTTTCACATTGCAGGGGGAATGTGAGAGCTTGGGGCTGTTCCAGACCAGCCATGGCTTTGAAGGGCCTCCTTTCCATGCATCCCACTGCTGGCAGGACTGTGAGCGTGAGGCGCTTTTCAGGTGTGTGTCAAAGGTGCATTTAGACATACTCATGTGCATGCAGCATATGCACTTGCACTTTTTTTCTCATCATTGTTTGCCCAGGAAAAAAATTCAATTTAAACATTAGAAGGGAATGAAAAGCCCACAACAAGTAAATCACATAATTGGCCCAAGCCCATACATTCAGGAAGGCAGAAGATTTACAACATAGAGCAGACTTACTTCAAAGAAATGGATCTCATTTTTGTTAAATGTGTAACTGCAAGTAATAAAAGTCATTGATTTATACCTGTATCATCCAGTCTTTAAAGAAGTCTCGATAAAAGTTAAAGATTCAGCCATCCTGAATATCTTGGGTATGTTCATATGGGTAGCCATTTTACCCACAATTGAGTGTAATTTGAAAATTCTGTATTTTTGAAAATCTGTTAACTTCTTAATTGACCTGCTTCTCAGTAGCCATCAACTCAAAGAGATTTTCAAAGTTAACAACTTTATTTCTTTTATGATCATGCAATTCTGAAATGGGGAGGTGCAAGACAGGTGCAAATTATTGCTTTCTTGCAGCTCTTACAGGGTGACCAAAGTCCTCAAGAGGTCACCTTGGATGGTACAGTATTTCAGAACACACTTGCATCCAAACAAGAGTATTAACTCATGCTACTCATAAGGGATTCTCTGTTCACACCAGTCACCAAATGGTTTTGGGGTCATTCACAGTGACCTTTTAAATATTTTTTTTACTGCAATAATGTCAAACAACTACAGAATTTACTACTTCTTAGTCTGAAAGGGAGCTGTTTCTTAGAATGGGGAACTAGGGGAAGATGTTTTCACTCAGCTGGAAGCTTTTTGGGGCAGATTTCATCCATAGTCCAGAATTAAATGTCAGATCCCCTGAGCTCTTGAAAACTCAATGAATGTTCAACCCCAGGAATCAGGTGATGAACCAGAACTTCAGTCTCTCGGAAACCAAACTCTTTGTGCTTCAGAGAGATTTGGTTTGGTTTCATTTTTTCTCCATTTTTTATCCTTTTTCCTTAATTTTGATGGATGGTGTTTTGTTCTGCAGTGAGTTTTAATGCATGTAGCTGTGGAACATTTTCAATTGTTGCAAACAACAACAACAAAAAGCAATATTTCAATATTTCTCAAGAAAAGGCTTCAAAGGTTTCAGATCTTTTTAAAATGTTTCTGCTTTATTTTGACGTGGCATAAAAGTTTTGTATGCAGTCTCGCATCCGCTATTGTGACAGCTGTATTTAATGAGTGCAAAATGATCAGAAAAACATCCTTTACTGTGGGTTGCCATTGCCAGCAGATGACAGGAGAGAGGCAGTACTGTAATAACAGAAGCGATGAAGTAGTTCATATTGCTACTGATGAGGTACTTCTAGCTCAAACGCCTAGGTATGCCTTTTGAAAATAATGCATTGGTCACATTTCCTGATCGTTTCATCAGATTTTGTTTCCAAGTGCATTTTGAAGTAAAACTGTGCGTTCTTAGCCTCAGGTCATGAAGTGGTTGGTTGCGACATATTATTTGGGGATAACAGTGTCAGGTTCCATAAGATGAAGAGGGAAAGGTCCTAGTCTTGTCTATAAATACCGGCCTCTCCATCAAACTAGTGCTAAGGATGAAATGCACAGATATGCTAGAAATGAAACATTTCACAATATGTTTGATTTTTATTTTATATGCATATTTATTATCAGACAATTTTAGTCCAAATTGGAGAGAGTATAAAAGTAAATCTAAATGGATTTGAAAGGCAGGGTATTTCTTTTTTCAAAGCTTCATCGTCCCTGACTTCCTCTGGTGACTGTTAGCTTATCATGCCTTTGTACAGGAGATCTAAGTATTTCATTCTCTCTTGTGTCTCCATATGGTACCATTTCGCAAATAGTCTTCCTTTGGTCGCAAGATGACAGTGAGAATGGATTGTCAAACTGGACCACTATGACAATTTACTCTGGGGGAGAAAATCCTGTGGGTGTTCAGAAGCTTTACTGTTAAGTTATATTTGATTAACTTATCCTACTACTGACAAATAATTAGGTCAGCAATTAATTTCAAAATGCAAATGTGCTACAGGCCTTCATATTTTAAGAAATTCCCTTTGTCTTTAGTTTCTACTTGTGTTGAAGTCTTAATGGATTTAGCTGAATGAAGAAACAAAATTATGTTTTCTAATGCTTTATTTACTTGGTTGAGTTGGACTTTTTCAGCAAATATTGACAGCAAATGTTTGTTCAGAAGTGATCATGTGGGATGGAATTAATGGGGTAAGAAAATGGAAGAGTAATGATGAACCACTCATTTAAAAAATATATATACATATATATACATATATATATGTGTGTATATATATTCACATTTCTGCTGCAATATATTTATCTACCTTCATGAAATAGGAACAGAAAGACAAACAAGGGTCAGGAGGAGATCACTGTGGCAAATTCACTAGTACCTGCTTAAGCAGTCTAAGAAACCAGGATATATCATTAAAAAACTCATACCTAACATTGATACAAGTGTGTCTCAAAGAAACCTATCTACCAGCCTATCTCAGGGACTTTGTTATTAAACAAACACAGATTAAAGGCTCAACCCTTCCCAAGAGAAACTCAAGGGAGTTTTATGTTGACTTTAAGGGAGTGAGGAACCTAAGTCTGTATTTTCTGTGATTAAAATCATGCAATTTTTTAGAAAATATTCAAAACATGCTGCTGTAAACAAAACCAACCAGCTATCCTGATTTAAAATCTGAATGAATTTACATAGGTGGAAGAATTATATTAGAATTTTCTATGGGTTATTTTGCCCAAATACTTCAAGCAGAATAACCACTCAAAAATTAGGTGAGGGTTTTTCACAAAATTTTTACTGACCTGAAGAAAAAAAAAAATTATATGCTTAATGATGCAAGCTAATTTGAAAGAAATAATGGTTTAAAAAAAGTCAGGTTTTGAGTTTTCTGGGCTTTTTTGGTTCAAAACAGTGCTTTCACATCACATTTGCTTAAATTAGTAATGCAAATAATTACATGAGAAAAAGAAAAAAACAGAAGAAAGATAAAACTAAACATTGCATTTTTTAGGGGATTTTTAATTTTAGAATATAAAAAGAGGGAGAAAGGGAAGAATTGCATGGGGTCAAATGTGTCTCATGCATGGAAAAAGCTTGATTTCCATTCTCCTCCAAAACACCCAGGACCCTCTTTCCCTCTTAAGCATCTCCTGAAGTACTTTGAAGATTCCACTACGTAGGAGCAGGCAACACAAAACTGAAGCTTGATTTTGAATGAGAGAGAACCTCTCCCTCTTCCTCTCTCTTTCTCCTCCCAGGGTTATAGGAAAGAAAATGAGAACCATATCTGGGTGAGAGGGCTGAGCTGTTGGGAGCTGAGCAGCCAGAAGCTTTCTTGTAAGATAAAGCAACAATCATGCTGCTCAGCTGTACACTGACAGGGACCCCATTAAAGAATCACTTTTCAAAAAAGATACAGCTGCCTTCAAAAGCGTCCAAAGGAGAGAAGTGGAAATGATCAGAAATTTGGGAACTGTCACCTGCAAAGAAATCTGAACTGGGGTGATTTCATCTGGAAAAGAAAATGAGTGGACATAAAACCCAAAGACTTCTAATGTTAGAAGCCTTCTGGAAAGAGGCAGGGAAGAGTTTGTGTTTCAGGACTACAGCCAGATGACAGAAAGTGACAGTGCTACATTGAAACAAAGGAGTCAGATCAAATGCTGGCCAAAATTTTCTCACAGTGAAGACATTGAAGTTGTGGAAATGATTGTTTTTTGAGAGTCTGGAGTCCCCCTCACTGAAGACCTTTGAGAATAGACTGCACAAGCTACTTTCCAAAATAATATGAATAGAGTTTTTAGTTGAAACCAATTCCTTAGCAGTTATTACACTGATATTTTTAATTGATTTTAAGAAATTGAAGGAACTCTTGCTTTTGTGGTAGGATAAAATAAACTTTTAAGTTAATCTAGGGCAAGAAACACACTATGAATACCCAGCTGCTATTATGAGTGAGAGCAATCATGGATGGGACTTACCTGCTGAAGCAGGACAGATAAAATGGTCTGCATGACCAAAGGGCAGCTCATTAAAATAACAAATAAACAATATTTTAAAAATAAAAAATATGTGATTAATTAGTTGGCTTAAGTACTATAAAATAAAGCAAGTCAATATGCCATAACTTTATCATTAGAATTGGATTATATTCAACAGATTTTAGAAGCACAGTCACTATGACTGTGACCAAGGGGAGGCAAAGCAGTATGAAACTCTGTTTGAATATCAATAGCAACTTCATGTAATAGCAATTTGGCAAAAATACACAGAACACAAACTATATAATGCAAGTTTGAGTGAGAATATTATTTATTTTAGGTAGTATCTGTATATTTGATTTAAAAAAAAATCACAGAACCACAGAATCACAGAATTACAGAATATGCTGAGTTGGAAGGGACCTCAATGACCACTGAGTCCAGCTTCTGTCCCTGTGTAGCACCATCCCCAGGAGTCACACCTGTGTAAAATTCATTTCACTCTTAAAAAAGCAAACAATGTCTCATGTCATTTAAATCATAAATTTTTCAGCATGATCTCTGGAGTCATCTGCATAAGTGTTAAAGTATGTAACAAGGTAAAAAAAAAAATTGAAAAATTGCCACACTCTAAAGTTAGGACTTTTTACATTATTTTATTAACATTTTGTATCTGTTTACCTTGAACTATGCACACTAAATATCTCAGCCTTTTACAAAAGCCTTCTGCTGGCTTCCCTTCCCTTGGCTGCTCATGTGCTAGTGTTTTCTCTTTGTCTCAAAAAGGGAGCGGCACATCCCGCCTCACATGGTCTGTCTTTCTTTCTGTCATCCTTGGAAAGAAGAGATTTTCCTTATCCTGTAAAATGGTGTCTGAGGATTTCCTTGTGGGGATCAGAAGGGCATTTCCCTTGGGATTGCCAGGCAATGGCTGAGGCCTGATGAGTATTTGTTTCTCCCATCATCCATTCTGAGGGGCATAATCCCAAGGAAATCAGTGGGGAGTTTTAATATGGACTTTGAAGGCCAGATATGCCTAAGAACATAAAGGTGATTAAGAAATTATTCTACTGAAGCTTTCCCAACAAACTGGGGCTGGCATTTTTGAAAAATAAACCAAAATAAAAATGTCTTCCTTTGTTTTTAATGAATATCAGCTGATAGATCTTAGCCCTTTCTTATAGCCTAAACCACATTTGGCACACAACTGCAAACACAGGTTCCAGCTTCAGGTAAATTTATTATGCTAAATTCTCCCAATGGTGTTATTTGGATCCCAAGATTTTGATTCTTTTCTAATGTGGTTTCAACTCCAGTAAGGCTTGTTCACGTATATGGAAATAGTGGTACAACTGTCTTTTTGAAATGGGTGAAATTCACAAGATTTATCAAAAAAATGCAAAGTTTAACTTTATGAAATCTTTAAAGAAACATCTAACATTCTGCTTCGATAGAGTTCTCCCTCTGTAACATGGTATGCATAGCATGGCATTGTAAATCGCCTCTTTTTTTTATGACATGGTAGAGTCAGACTCTAGACTGTCTGGTGCCATCTCAAAGCCTGTATCCCCTCTGCACCCCACAGCTGCCCCACAATCTGTCTTTGAGTGTCTCCCAGCTGCTAGGGCCCCAGACGTTTGGCATCCCTTTGTTTCAGGGGCCAAATCTCCAAAGCAAGGAAGCAGATACAGACTCCTAAGGAACCACTGCCTTTCAAAACATGCTCTCAGCATGAATGAGGAGTTTATTATTCTTGAAAATCCTCTTCAGCACTCAAAAATCTCCACTTCAAGTGTCATAACCACTTGCTGGCATTAACATCCTGTAACAGCTACCACAGAAGATGTTGAAGAGTAATGGAAAGAAGAAAGATACCTTAAGCCAGATGGCACACTTTAATTTGTTGAGAAACAGTACAACCACACACTAGAACAATAAAGGGGAAAAAGTAGGGAAACAGAGGGGAATTCATTACCTGGAAATCACACACTGGTCTGGGAAGGGAGGTGAGGGGAGAAGCTTCCGTTTCCTCAGAAAACACATATTGCAGCATCTTCTTCCTCATAAGAAAAAAACAGGTATGAAACCTTGAGAGTGATTACCTGCACTGCTCTCTTCCTTACCACCCTAGTCAGCCACCCATGACAACAGAGCCAGTTAGAGAGTCCCAACCGGCAAAAGGATTAAAAAAGAAAAAAGTAAAGTGGAAAAATGCCTCAGGCCCCACACATGTGACTTCACAGCAAAACCTAGAGCCAGCCCTGAGGGGTCTGGTACAGAGAAAGAAGTAATATGACTGTGATTAGGATGTGTGGAAATTAGAAACCCTCTTGTTTTAAGGAGGCAGGTTATCTACCAAGCCTGCTCTACACTTCTTTCAACTGTAATGTGGTGAACAAAGGCTGTCTGTAGAAGATGCTGTATTTTTCTACTCAGCCTATGTCACTTAGAGCTTTTTATGCTAGACTCATTTTAAAAACTTCAATTTAAACCAACATGAAAGGTCTTAAACAGTAAATAGCATATTATATCAAAAACAAATAGATTAAAAAGTGAACAACCATAGCCAGTATATCTCTTTCTGGAGGAGTTTCACTTTCCACACTAACTAAAACTCTAAGACTGGCAGATCTGGGCCAGAGGTTTGTAATGGGCCTTTTACTTTTTTTTTTCCTCCCACTCCAGAGATAAATAATCAGTTTTAGGGAACTGATAAAAAGAGACAAGAATGAAAAGTGAGTGTGACACATTTATGAGAAGGTTTTTTCATCTGTTTCTTAAATACAGCACCTTTATTTCAGTTTGTATTAAAAAAGAGATGGGAGAGCCAACCAATTTATGTTGTGCAGCAGTAGTGAATACATATGAATGTACAGAGCACAGCCTGGGAGAGACAGAAAATTCACCCAAAATTTCCTGACAAGTTGAAGAAAGTTATATTATCATTCAAGAATCATTTATTTGAAAAAGAAAAATAAAAACCAGGCCACATGACTTAAGGCAATAGAGAATAAAAACACATTGTTTCCAGACAAATCCCCATCAAAGACACATGACTGGGGATTCTGAAGTCAGAATATCTTCATATTTTAAATTTCCATGAACACTTTCAGAAAAGCTGGGGTTCTGCTAAAGGATTTGCCACACACTTTTCACTACTGATTGATAGCAAGGAGCAGCATTAGCAGTATTTTTCCCCCACCGTTCCTCTGAAGCTAATGGAGTCGAGGATTCGTTACTTGATCTAATGGCAATAGCTTTCCAATAGACATGCACAGAATCATTGATTAGTTTGTCCTCTTCTTGTTTGCGTTGGAACACTGTTCAATTTACACCAATTAAAGAATGCTTGGTTTGTGTATTGAAGAATAATTAAGGGATGGAATTCCCTATAGGCTACTAAAAATGACATCTGACTAGAATGGTGATTACAGCATGAAGACAGCATTAGTATTTAAATAGTTTGACTGCTATATAAAATCATTACAGCACCTCACCATGAAAAAGAGCATTAGTTAATTTTGCCTATAACAAAATTAGTTGTATGTATTTGCCTGGTCACTTTAAGTAAATTTGACAAGGCTAATCTTAAAGCAAGCGATCCAGGTTTGGTGGAAGGAGCAGATAGAGCACTGTTTAAAGCAATCATCTTGATAGATATGTATATAATCTTCAACCAAAGTACAAATACACACAAATGAGTAGCAAGAGCTTTGTCAGAGATGCTCAAATCAAATGTAAACACTAAAAACACATCAGTTGCTAAAACTGAAAATCCAAGGGTAACTGGCATGTTAATTATACAACAATCAAGTTGCACAAACTGTAAACATACAAGAAATCCTTTTTTGCCTGCCACTGTGGTTGTCAAACCTTTGCTATCCTTTCTAGCACTGCATGGTACAAAGAATCATGGGGAGCAAACAGTCACCGTGGAAGGAGTCATCCTTACTAGAAGGACTTCACTGTGAAATAACCCAAATTGTTAAAAAATATTGGAGAGGTATCCATGTAATGTCCCTTTAGACAGGCTTATTTGTTTGTTTTTTATTACAAGGTGGATGTGAGGTTCATTCTTGAAAATACTGAGGAAAGAGGCCTTTTTATCCACTGTTTAAATTTCTCTATGTATATTAATTTCTATTTCCTAGCCTTAGATTATAATATCTACAGTAATGATCTATCCAAAATGTGACAGCAACATTACTGTAACATAAACTGCTTGGGGCCAGTCCTGAAGCATATTTACATTTCCATAGCCTACTTAAATATAGTGTGTTTGTTTTACTAAACTTGGATACTGTAGTATATTTTATAATGTCATCCGCCTGCCTCAAGACCTCATATTGCAGCTATCCTTCCTATGGGAATTTATGCAGTTTCAATTGAAGGTTGTCAACACCCTCTTTAATTCAGCAATGGGTTCTCTGTGAAGGAACATAAGACTTTTCCATTTAAGCCTCTAAGGGCATGTAGCCATGCTTATTAGCATGTGTACATTGTGCAATGCACAATTGTGTCAAAGACGCCAAAGCTCCCAAGCCCAAGTTCCAAACGAGATGATACACCTGCACAGCACAATATACCTTTATTTGCATGGCCTTGCATACCTTTATTGGCACCTCTGGCCAATCTGTAGTACCTCTTTGCAGATCAAATTAGTCTTTGGTGCCCCATGCTGTTCTTGTGAACATGCCTGGTTCTACAGGTCACTAATGGATATTAGTGCACTAATCACTGGATAATGGATAATGGATATTACTGCACTGTATTCCACCAGATGGATCTGCCCTAGAATTAGGTTTGGGACAGTACACTTATATCACACAGTATATCCACTGACTTTCCATAGGGTTTTGTTCCAACATTTTAAAAGTCTTCTGTTCTGGCTTTTGTTTTCAAGTTGGACAAGTAGTTCTCACTTCTGAACTAGCCCTCCTGTTGGGATCTCCCACTATAATCTGCCTGACTAGACCTTGAGCTTTCAGGAGTGAGACTAACACTTTTTTTCAATGAATAATATTATTTTGCAACAGGGCTGATATAAGGGTGTATTCTGCCTTCCACCCACGAGAAGAAAGTCCATTAATTTCAATAGAAACTCTCCATGCAGAAAAGGGAGAACTGTGCCCCAGGGAACATTCATGGAAGATTAATGGCGAGGAGAGAAAAGTGATACAGTACAGGCAGAACAAAATCAGAACCCACCACACAAATAAAACTGGACAAGGGTTCATTTTTTAAAAGTCAGTCAGAAACGGCAGGAAGGCTTTGAAAAAAAAATCAGGGCTGTTTCAGTGCACTTTTGCATACATTGGCTTTCAGGAGACATGAATAGAAACCTAACAGTAACTCTTTTTTCGTACCTCCTTTCACAGGTCTCACTGGCAAAGAAGGATTTAGCACTTAATTCCTGTACTTTTATGTGGCAAATTAGGAATTTGCACCTTAAAAGGAAATTGCTTTTCAAACTCCCATAAATTCTGGATTTTATTTTTTTAAATGGTGGAAAACATTCCCTACGTTCATCCCAACACATAATAAATAGCACTCTCCATTACTGCTCCTCAGAAAGGTGTAGGAAACAGGACCTGGCCAAAGAGAGGTGTTTATCATTCCTCCTGAGGAGATGCTAAGGGCCTGGACCCTGTCCTTAACCCTTTTTCCTCCTCAGTCCTTTTTAGTTTAGACTAGCATATTTGGTCTCTTTCTCAAAATCAAGTATCTGCTGAGGAAATCATTGAACTTGAGACTTGGTTACTTGATGAAGTAGGGCCTGCTGGCATGGTATAATCCAGACCAAAACTGGAATAAGTACAGAGTTGTAATATGTTTTATTTTTCAGTTTACCATCGTCTAAAAATAAAACCCCTACACCATTTTTTGCTTCATTTTAGGTAACTGCTTGGTTTGCAGCTGCAACATAGAAGGAGGGAAATGGTGAAGGAGACTGACACAGCATGAGAGCCTGCAGCAGACAGTGACTGGTGACTCTGGCAGGAAGCACTGAAATGTGGATGGTAATGCTGACCCCAACACAAGGTCCCATATCCAGGGGGCTTGAGACTGAGGTGGTGCCCACCAGAGTGGGACAAAGGACATGATCAGAGAACCTCTGAAGATCTTTACTTCATGAGGGCAAGACAAGACTGAAGGACAAGGAAGTGTGGCCCAGTGAAGAAGTGTTCTCTCACAAGGTGGCACCATAGCTGTCATCAAAACACCTTCCATTATGACTGTTGACACTGAAGTGAAGATAAGCTTTCAAAAAGGTTGGTACACACCCTGACTTGTTTTATTCCTGAGTCATTTTTTGAGTCATTTATGGCCTGATTTCTTTGTCTCTGCACTTCCTAGCATGACAAAAGACATGGGGCAGGTATTGAGATGGCATCTTTTTTCTCTTTTAATCTATGAGGCACCACAAAAAAACAATCAATGGGCATGGAGACTGCTCTGGATGTGTCTAAGAGTAAGTGGCTCAAATACTAACATGTGAATTTAGTAAAGTTAAACTCTGTGGAATGGAGATAAATGGCAGCAGCAATTGAAGTTGAATGTGATATAGAAATCCAACAGAAGACTGTCTGGAAACAATTATTCAGAAAGCTGCTGACCCTCTATTTCTTTAAAAAGTTAAACATTTGGATCAGTTAACTGGCAGCTGCAATAATAGGCATATGCTCTAATCTTTGATCCATAGCTGAATTTCCAACCCTTTGTATGAGAAGCAGATCATATAGATTTGCATATTTTCAACGATCTATAGGGAGAAAAAGAAGAACAAAACCTGCCTTTGCAAGATGCCACTTTGAAATCACACAGAGTGTCATGGGTCCTCCCAAGTACACTAATGTTCAGAGCCACTTGCAAGACTCACAAATGTTATAAATGGCCCTAAACTGTGACATTGGCATCTGAAGATTCAAAATTCCTCCAAGAACAGACTCTTGTAAGCCAAGGTTGCATCATAACTCTTCAGAGAGTTACGTACATCTATCCTTAAGATCTTATTTCCACATCCAAATTTGTGTCAGAACTTTCAGAAAGACTTAAAGAGCCCAGAACTAATAGGTAAATTTAAAAATTCTTTGTAACTAAATGAGGAACTGTTGACTAGAACCAAATGCATGAGCAAGTAACAGATTTATGCCAAGGTCGTGACATTTTCTTAGATTTGTCAAAATTTTTCAGTGTTGATGAAAATTTGCAGACAGAAGACAGCCATGAATCACCCCCAGAATAGAATGGATGCAATTAATCTTTTTTTTGTGTTTAAAGTTCATTTCTGGCTCATTTCTGTTTGGAACACCAGCTGAAAGATGTTTACTAATTACTTATTTTGAATCAACAGTCACACCTATGGCACAGATCTCCTCCACTCAGTAGTATTTCATCAGGAAGTAGGTCCTACCGAGAGAAGTGAGCAATATACTGAGTACTGTGAAGTGAAGAAGTAATCATCCCTGCAAATGTGCTCAATTGTGTGGGATGTTCCAACATAGTCTTTACTCGATTCACACTTTACAATAGGCTTTTTGTCCTGGTTCACCTACACAACAGTCTTTGACATCAATGAAGATGATGAGAGCAGCTATTTGTTATTTGTGAATATTTCCTATCATCCCAAACAAAAGTGCAGACTACTGCATGGGACTGTGCAGAAATTTTTGAGAAAGGCAATGCAAAGAAATCATTCTCCAAAAAATATTCTGTGTAGCTTTCTTGTAGTTGCCCACAGTAAGATATATGGGAGCATGGAGGTTTTTTAGAAGCCTGACTGACGCAGGAGGCAGAACTTACAGGCACTATCTGTCTTGTCCTATCTTCCTTGTTAAGTCCTGGCAAAAATCCCATAAAGAGGAGAGGAAGGTGTTGCACACTCCTGGGTAAGGTGTAGTTAGGGGGTGAGGAGATGCAATGGTGGGTATGATCAGACCACTGGCAGGTGAACCAGAACTTGAGGTTTAAACAATAGTTTCAGTATCTTAGAGAGGAAGAGAGTAGAGAAAGTGAATGGCACGCAAGTTTTAATGAGAAAAATTGATTGCTGATGCAGAGATTTTGAGAAGGGACCAGCCTGTGTCCTGACAGGACATGTTCCACACCATAAAGAGACTTCAAAGTAACCCAAAAGCCAAAATAAAAGTTTGCTGCTTTTTGTACCTTTCCAACAGCACTAGTTGGTACTCTTCTCTCACCAGCATGGCCATGTAACAGGCTTTTCAAGTTCTGGAAGCATTATTAAAATAAAAGGCCAAGTCTTGCCTTGCTTCCTAGTTAAGAAGAGCTATAGATCTCTATAGGAATATTCTTTATTGTTGTCTTCTGTGCTTTGTACACCTTTGGGTGACTCTTCCCAATGGCCTTTGAAAGATTTTGATCTCCTTATTTTTTGGACATTGTGTAACTTGCGTGTTTTGTGAGAAGGCAGAGTGTAAAAATGGAGAAATTGCCTTATGTGCTGTATGGTATGATTTCAATAACTTCACTTAGTTATTGCTAACCATATTTTATAAATATCAACACATAATATTTTTTCTGGCCATTGAAATGATGCTTTCAAAGTAATTCAAATATGTATTCTGATATATTTTGTTAATATTACAATTGTACAAAGTTGGTTATATCAGTTAGGAGAAACACCTTGAAATTGCCTCCCTACAATTTATTATCTGTATCTTAACTTTGTACAGTACTACAAGATCATTTTGCTCCTATGCTAAGTGGAATCCTAGTATATCACTACATTCAGTCAAAATATTGCAAGTTAAAATAATAATACCTGTAGATTATGAAAATTATACCAAGAATGCAAGCATTTCTCCTTACATAAAGCATAAAAACTGGATATAATTTCAATTAAAACAGATTAGAAAATGGATGTTTGGGAGGTATTGTCATTATTGTGGGCTACAGTAAAAGAAAAACATGCATCAAATTAGAATTACTTCCCCTAAATTAAAAATGTTAATCAACCAAGACTTTAATAAGGAGATAGTATCACCTTAGTGGTTTGGTCTAAGGCGATTGCTGACAGTGCCTCTGTAGTTGAGAGAGAAAGGGACACTTCATTAAAAACAGATACTTATTTTCACATGGAGATACCATCCTATGATGGCCATATGAAATGGTCAAAAGCCTTTTGAAACATCTCTGAAAACAGCGATCTGGAGATGCCACCTGTGACAGACAGGAAAAGAAAATTACCTGAAACAAGATAGCTAATTCTAAGACAGCCACAGCAACTTATAAAGAATCCTGCTCTGTACATGGATTCCCAAATTTTAGAAAACAAAAGGCCCAATTAATTTCTAAGGTATTTTCATTTTTTATAAACAGATGTGCTAAGGATGAGCATGCCTGCTTGTGTCTTAACATAGATTTCATAGTCTGGACTTCAACTGACAGCTCTGCAGTTATGAATCTTGAGACATATTCCACCTCAATTTAGGAAGTTCTAGGAAGCTCCGGGTCCTTATTCACAAAATATGAGAAATATGAGCTGTCAGATCTTAATTCTTCATTTAAAATAAGTTAATAAAATAAGGATGCCCACAGTAGGCTTTCTACAGCTTCTCCTTTCAGAAAGCCAGGACAAACTCAACAGCATAGATACTTTTCTCTTTGATGGATCAAGTCACGGAACAGATTTCTGATATAGTCTCCATATAGGGCCTTAGGCAGCTATAGCGAATATCAACCCCATATCCATACCCTATCAAAGGCATGTTTGTCTGTGTCTCACACATATGTATCTCTAGTGAGTGCAGTATAAATTAAAATAATTTCTTGGGTTTGACTCTATAAACAAACCAAGTAATGGTCATCAGAGTTCAATGAAATAAGTTTTAAGTCACAAAGCTCAGTAGCATTTGTGAGCATGTGTTTTCATAAAACTGATGTTCTTTTTAATTATCTGGACTGAAGGCAAATCTACACCAGCCAGAGAATAAAACATGACATGGAGAGTATTTGCCCCATTTCTGATGTTTTAGTTCTGTCCTTCAAAATAATTAAAGACTGGATTTGCCATACGGCAGTTTCTGTCTTTCTCAAAACAGAAAGGGAGTGGGAAGAAACAGAAATAAACATATATGAGAGAAAGAGCAGGAAAGAGAAAGGATAGCTCCAACCCTCCAACTTCCCTTTATGAAAGACTAAAGGCCAAAGGGCTTTTCACTTGATGAGGGCCAGACCACAGGCTTGGATACAAACCCCACTCTTCTTGGGTTCTGATGCTGAGTACTCATCCTGCCCCTTTGCTGTGATGTGTCAGGGGATGGATTGCAAAAGCACTAGAGAAGGGTCTCCTGCAGGACCAGCTCCTCACCTGAACATCTCCCTGGGGACACTGCCAGTTTGCATTGGTGAGGCTTTAACCCGCCTATGACAGGTGTAGTGCAGAGGAACGATACTGGGCTTAAAAAGCCAGTGAAGTAAGATGTGCTGAGAGTGGCTGTAGCAACATACAGAAAAATCCTTCAGTGGAACAGCAAGAGAATACCAGTTGAGAGACATGTTTCACCTGTTGGTGATTATTCTTAGCCTGGACTTCGCACAAAGACATTGCAGAGATCCCCACAAATCCATATACAGTGGGTCAGAAGAGTGCAACAAGCTAGAAGAGGAGTTAAATTAATCTCTTGCATTGTGTCTGCTGCTGAGAGTAGTGTAGAAATTCCTGTGCCAAAGGCATTTTGCAAAGAAAATCAGAGTGTGGCCTTTATACAGATTGAAGTCTCTAAGGAGGAAGTTGTAGAGTAACTTGAGAAACTCAAGTGCAGTAAATCACCACAACCGGATGGTGTTCATCTGGGAGTTCTGAGGGGAAATAAAGTGAGAAAAAGCCAAGATACTGACAGGAGGATGCCTTCTTCCCTTGAAAAATGCAGCAGCACAAGGAGGCTGGGAAGCCCTATTATGTTGCCTGTCTTCAAAAGGAGATGAGGAAAATCCTGGGAATAAAAGAGCTTTGAAGTTTGCCACAGTTTCAGGGAGCCCAAAAAAACAGTTCTGAATAACAGCTCAAGAGAGAGCTTGTTGGACAAGAACACCTCATAAAGGTGTTCTTCAGCCTCCCAAACCACTAAGGCTGTTACAAGGAGGGAAAGTGCACCTGGTCACTTTGAAAAACCAGTGGAGCAGCCTTCAGAGGAAAAGTGGCATAATAACTTTCTTCTCAGAGAAAAGTGACAAAATGATCCAAAAATTCTAAAGGTTTCACAGAGGTCAATTATAAGCAATTGTTACAGAGAATACTAAGAAACAAAACTGAGAATAATACTTGGTTATGATGATTTCACCCTGAAATGAACTACAAATCAGTCTGGAAGAAGTGAATATGAGAAGCATTTCTCCTTCTGTTGAGGCAGGGAAAGGTGAACACCCAGTAGTAGGTATCAGTGTCATAACAAATAAATGAGCCTGAATCCCAAATCCTGATGCATTCAAATTAGCGTATCCAGAATCCACCCAAGATCTGGATTCAAGTCACACATGTGGCTCCCATCTTAAAAGAGGACAAATCAATTCCTGGGTTGCAGCTCCTGAGGTTTGTGCTCTGAGGTTTGAATACTCCATATTCAAAGACTTCAGCCTACACGACAGTTACGTATGAAATATGGGGGGTGGGAGGAGTGCATGTGTACACATAGCATGCAAAGGAAGCAATTAAATGTAAACCCAAAACAATTTAAAAAGTGATTCATGGCAAAAAGTGCTCTGATGCAGAGACTGTAAGTATTTGTTCTTTACATTAACTTGCTGCAGCTAGCTGAAAGAGCAGAAGATAGCAAGTAATAGACAGTGGGAATTTTGCTGGGTTTGGTGAGCCCACTTACAATCAAACATTTTCAATTATCTGGATTTACATTGTCTTGTACCCTTTCATTTTCTCTCCTAGTTTTTTTTTAGTTCCTGTAGACTAGGCCCAGTGTACTGAAGGCAAAGCTTCTTCAGTTTTAATTTGCTTTGTCTCTTGAATTCATTAGATTTTGAAAGCTTTCAAAGGAAATCACAGGTAGGAATTAGAGAAAATACAGAAAGTGGGACACTTCTGACTGGCTTGTATGTTTCCAGTGTCTAAAGAGAAAGCTTTTTTTTAAAGCAAACTGGAGGAGGGTTTGTAAAAATAGATATTTACATTTACATACTGGGACAGATCCTCAGCTGCAATAAAACAGTATTGCTCCACCTTCTTGAAGAGGGCTAGCCCTATCCAGCACAGCTGAGAACCTACCTCTCACACATGCACCTATATGTGTGGAATATATCCAAGGTTCTGTATTTTTCCAAAGGTACAGAAAGCTGCTTCTCCCTCCAGGTGCTTTTGCCTGTGCACTAAGTTGTGGGAGTTACAGCTCCTCTGTTTTTAACTGAGGGTAGTGTTTTCAGGGAGGCAGGGTGTGAAGGCATACTGAAGTGTAAGGAGAGGGATGCCTGAACAAAGGAACTGGCATGAACATAGAAACCCAGTGAAGACGGTGATGGAGAGAAATAAGAAAGAAAATGGTATCCCACATAGCCATGCTGTGCCCAGCAATGTCTGCATTCACAGCAACAGGGAGTTAAACTATGATTATGTAGCAACCATGAATTTTGAAAACGCCTCAGGTGTTTCCAGCTAGGTAACAGGAATAGCAGGAGACCTGCTACTGATAGCAAGGTGGAGAAAAAGGAGCTCTGTGCTCAGCTGTGCTGTTGCAGGAGTCACATAACACAGCACAGAGAGTAGGTGTCACATCAGATAGTGCTAATAGGTGCCAACAGCCACCTTCACCCCTTTCCCCTCAGTCTTTCCCTGTGCGAGAGTCAAGTGAATATCAATGTGAAACAACTCCGTATGACCGTGTGCTTCTGCCCACACAGTGGGACCCTGGTAGTGATTCAGACTGTACTGGACTCTGGACACATAATGTACACTGAATATCCGTAATAAATAATAATTACCACAGTAGGGGGCAGCAGCCAGCTGTGGAGGAAGAGTAGGGCCAGCTGCTGGAAGAGATGTAGGCACTGGCTGAGCATGCAAGCTGGGCACTGGGGAGGGCGAGAGGGCCATGGCTGGGAGCCAGTGGCAGCTTACTGCCAAGAGGAGGGAGATAAAAGCACAAAAGAGTTTCACCAGAGGGAGCTGCTCCTGGCCACCCCTCAGCAATTGGTAGCGGCCCTGATCCAGGAGGGAAGGCTGATGGCAAACAGGAGCATCGCCAGCCTGTGAGCGCAGCCAACACTGCTCACACGTACCATCCTGGAACTAGCAGGGTGGGTGTCTGTAAGCCAAGCAAGCCTGCTGCAGGGAAACAGCCCTGCACAGACCTCTGGCTAGCAGGAGACCCATACCTCCTCCAGAAATGTGGACAGACCCATCCTGTTCCCCTCAACATCTCCCCAGATGCTCCTCCAGCAAAAGCAGGGTCAATACTCTAGAAATGAGTGCAGATCCAAAAGAGACTGACAGACATATGGTCAATGCTTTTCTGAACCCCCTGATGCTCAGGTCTCCTTGATTTCATCAACAGAAGTGTTCTGGCAGTGCTGAAGATCCCCAAACAGCAATGCTATTATTTGAATTCCTCGGAAGGCCTGATGCTTAGTGCTTGAGTTCCCTGGGTGGTATGGTAAACAAAAAGCTGCTTTTGAACACACTGCACACACTCAGCAGTCATCCAGTACAACTAAAATTTATCATAGATTTAAAATATTTTTCTAACCCCTATGAAAAGTATTTTCTAAGACCAAATCAACTCAGCAGTCTCATTTTCACAAGGCCATTCATGGCATGCTCCTCACACACCAGCTTCTAAGCAAGAGTCAACAACAGCCCAGGGTCAGTTCCTCTATTTGTCCCATATGGAATACTCAACTCTTGCACCAGCACTGTGTAATAATTAATTAGCACATGTTCTCTGTAATAATTATAACAATGTGGCACATTTCCCTTGAATTTAGCATAGTGAAATTTATCTTTACTTATATTCATGTCTTACATTCAAGCGTGCTTTCTGTGCCTGGTTATTTTTCACTGAGTTCAATTGCAAATAGATAAAATCTGTTTGCTTTTCTCTCCCAGGGAGGAGCATGTGTATTTCCAGATTCTATTCACATCCACCAGGAAAAGTCCCACACAACAACTGAAGCTTAGTTGGGCTTTTTTTTGCTGTGCTCCTGGTTAGTTGAGCATAGGGGGTGTAATATGGGCGATGTTAAAGTAAAGCTGCTTTTCCTCCCTTTCTCAACACAGCAACTGATAGATTTTTCAGCGCCAGTAAAAAGAAAGAGCTGCCATCCAAATCTCAGTTTATGTAGCCCACAAGACAGTGAAGAAACTGATAGAGGACATCCCAGGCCAACAGGGTATGGTATCAGGGCAAAACATCCACCATTTTTGCAGGTAGTAGACAAGCATGTGTGAGCTCAAATGCAAATCCATGGGCAACAAAAAGCCTATATGTTGAACATATATACAGTTCAAACATAAAGAACCAGATTCTTTCTGAATAACTTATATCTGAACATCTGACCTTAAGAACCAGCCTCAGTTAAGCACTGGCAAACTCCAAGATTTGGAAGGAAGTTAGGGGTGTTGCACTACTTTGAAAGCTCTGTTTTGAACCAGCTGTTATTACAAATATCTGCTGGTACCCCATCTTACCACACAGCCTGTCATGGGTGAGCATAATGAGAATGAGCCAGTGGAATATATTGAGCTGTACTTTCTTGCATGTCCTTGTAGCTCAAATTATCCCTTCACACAGCCATAACAGGTAAACTCTGAATCTACTTATGCCACATTCTAATTGGTTCCACTTAATTTGTGTATATGTCTGTGTGTGTGTGTGTTTGTATATACATATATGCATATTTATATGCACATATGTATATTTGGACATCATTATTAAAAGTAAATATGCATATTGTCACAGATTATTGCTATGTTCATAAGAGATTCTTAGAGTAGTTTGCTTTATTATACAATAAAACCATAGAAATTAATTGCCTTCTTTAGAATAAATAAGGAACACAGGACTCATTGTACCATATATGTTTAATAGTTTGGACATCTCTGTGCCCACATAAAAACAAGGAAGCATATATTGCAATAGGCAGTATAATTATTTCAGTGAGGAACATCCATCCCACACTCCTACAAATGTGATATTCAGCATCACGAGATTCTAGAATTATGTCATCAGCTGCACGAGTTTCACAGCTTATCTTGATGGTTTTATCTTACAGAAGTAAACTCCAACAAAAATGCATAACACTGCAAATTTAACAGCATGTTCATGTTAATACTAGCTGTAAAGATTTCTAAAAGGTGAATAGCATCAGCATTTCTATACGTATGTGTGCACTTATATATACACATGTATACACACACATGCACATATAAATGCACACATACATATCTGTGCTATGTATAAAATCTGTCCTTAGATATGCCATTATTTTATAAGGTTAATTCCAACTACATTAAACTTGAAAACAATGTTCTATACAGTTGACCAATTTAAGGAAGTCCCTGCTGGTGCACAGAAGATCGAGCTAGCTGAGATCATTAAGCATCATCGGATGAGGCTGCAGGTAGCTGAAACATTCCTTAATGAAAATTTAAAGAGAGCAGATTAAAATTATATTCCTCCAATCCAACAGAACACAAAGGTAAAGACAGTCAATTACAACCAAAATCTCATCTAGCACAAAAGGGCTGTTGTAGTCTGTAGATCAGAATTTATTGCCTGAAGTTAACATCCAGGCTTGTGACTATGTATATAATTACCTTCTACAATGTACTCTCCTAGCACTTAGATGAAGTCATGGAAGATGATGTCTTCCATAATTTTAGTCTGTTATGTTCATGACCAAGAGTTAGAAAATCTCAACAGCATCAAAGATTTTTGATCTGTGCTATTCTGTCTTTTTACATTATAAGAAATAGAAAATAAATTTAAAAATGCAAAATGCCATGCACTTGTTTTCCTGAACTCCTAGGTTAACTGCTTTAATAGTGTTTTGTGGGTCAATAAAGTAGCGCCAAGGAAGTGGTTCAAGCAGGATACTCTACCTATGTGCCTGTTCAGAAAGCTTGCAGCTCTCCCCTGGACACAACAGCAGGGGCTTTTGGTGACAAGGGTGCTCAGCTCTATACCAGTTCTGTTGTTAGATCAGAGAAATGCATCACATCTTTAAAATCTCATAACTAAAAAAGATACTGACAGGCAGCTGTGTCACAAGAAGAAATTAAGAATAGCAAGAAGGCTGAAAGGGCTGCTACATTAGGGAAGATTAAGTCAGCTAAATATCTATGAGTTGCCTTAATGCTTACTAAACACAACATCAAAATAGTTAAAAGAGATCAAAGAAGGGAAAGAAGGAAATTTGCAAAGGGATGTAAAAAGAAGAAATATGATGACGTTAAGAAAGGAAAAAAAGTCCTGACAACAAGATACTCTAGGCAACACAACCTCTCCCTTGAGATATGGTATCACTTAGGAAATTTAATCTAGGCACAAAAAAACCACAAAAAATATGCCATAAGAAACAACTTCATTGTGTCAGGAAGATGTACTGGATGACCCAAAAGATACATTGCTAATTGGTGTGCACCTGTTATCTGTGATTTTCCTTGCTTGTATGGCCAACTCATCATTACTTGTCTGTATTTGGTTTCTCTGGGTCCCATCCAACTCACGCTGCAGACAACAGAAGTTTCCGACAGGAGCAATAGGACCTCAATGTCTGTTCCAAGTCTTTGCTGTTCTAAAAAGAAGAGGGGAAAAAAAATCCCACACTACCTTGCAAGAACTTAATGCATCTGGTGTATGAACATATATACAACCAAGCACTTAAATTTTTTCTGGATATTTAAACCCGTGTTTATCCTTAGAGATATCTGAGGAAATGTGCATTTGCTTTCACTTGCTGCAGCCAAAATTTTTGCTAGAGAGGAAACTTGCAGTTAATCTAAAAATAACTTCTAATGAAAAACTGCTTTGGTCTTGGAAGAGTGAAGAAAATTCTCTACACCAAACTAAGAATAAATCTATATATTACACAGAAATGACAAAGATCTTTCTATCACTAAAGCAGTAATGCAACCAAAAAAAAAACTAACCATGAATTCTGAACTCTCAAGACCATAGTTTTCAAATACTTTCATAATTTTCAAATACCAAATGTCTTAGTATATATAATCAAATAGTACTTAAAATCCACTTGCTTGCAGGTAGGGAATCACTATTTTGTGGCAGGTCAGTGTTGGCCCCTTGAGAGACACAAATATCTGTGTAAGTGGGGCTGAATGTTCAGGGGTCAGGGCTGTTGGTTGGTGTTGTCCATATATCTAGTGGCTGGTATTGTAAATCTTTAGAGCAACGTTTCTTGAAAATACTAAACAGACATTTTGGTAGCCACATTGAGCCTGTGGCTATACTGCTTCAGGCTGTGATCTTGTCAGCTTTTACAAGTAGTGTCAGGCAGGGTCACCTCTTGGATTGGTAATTCTAAGGCAAGGCAGGAACTGCTGGAAGTGTCTCAGGCGATAGAATAGTTGTAACCATTTTCCCTGAGCCTTTTCTAATATCCTGATGAAGGCATAATGCCAAGACATGACACAAGAGCAAGATCCTCACTCTCTGCAGCCATCAAGTGCATCATTTACAAAGGGGTTTTTCCCTGGCCTGGTGTGGAAGTGTGAGGTACAGTATGTGGGAGATGGAAAAATTAATGTGCTACATGCACACTTGGTCCTGGATGAGCAGCATGTAAATGTGGGGCTCCAGCATGTTTCATCAGGAAGGGGGTACAGGTGAATGCCCCTTCTGACATCTTTGGGGATGCTGGTAGCTCCAAATTAGGTTTTGTCTACATCTATAAAGCAAAAGACAAGCCCAAGAGTGAAGATTTTGTACCCTAACTTTCAGCCTCACACACTTCTACAAAAAGTATAGAAGGACTGATAATGAAATCCTTGCCCAATGGTCTACATTGCCAAGAATTTTAAATTGTAAGTTAACCAATTTCTCCTCTAAAGTTCAAACAATAAATAAAATTCTATGTGAAAAATGGAGCCTTTTATTCCTTTGTTAAAATCTGATCAGAGTAAACTACAGATGTTAAAAGGCACTGTAGTTCAAAGAATTAAAAGAATCTTGCAGGGTTTGTACAAAGAAAAGAGTTTTAGAGAATTATATGGAAAATATTATAATGCTATTATATAAATCAGTGGCACATCTTCACTTTGAATACTGTCTTCAAATTTGGTCACCTTATACCTGAAAAAAGAAAGTAGAAATAGAAAAAGTCCAGAAAATGGTAATAAAAATGATAAAAGTCAAAAGGATGGGAAATTTCTTGAGGAAAGAGAAAGAACATAAGCACTAGCTTGTCTCTCAGGAAAGATATATCCTCATGGGACATTCATAGATATGGCACTTAGGGACATGCTTTAATGGTGGATGTGGCAATGTTAGGTTAATGGTTGGGTTTGATGATCTTAGAGGTCTTTAATGATTCTATGATTCAAATCATACTGAACTGAATGAAACCTCTCCATAAACTTAGAACACATCTTGTTGTCTCAGACAATCTAGAAAATGTCCTTGGATCCCAGCAGTTTTTGGAAAGCTCTGGGACCTTTCATGAACTAGATATGGCAGGTATTTTCCTCAGTGTACCCTTTTGTCTTAAAGAACTTTCAGCCAATCTGACTCTGGGACAGTAGACGGGGCAGTAGACAGTAGACAGTAGACAGAGCTACATATTAGAAACACTTGTTTTCCTTTGTTAAATCATAGGATCATAGAGTAGTTAGGGTTGAAAGAGATCTTAAAGGTCATCTAATTCCAATCCCACTACCATAAGCAGGAATACCTTCCATTGGAGAAGGTTACTCAGAGTCCCATAGAACCTGGCTTTGAACATTTCCAAGGGTAGGGTGTCCCACATCTCTGGGCTACCTGTTCCAATGCCTTACCACTGTTATAGTAAAGAGTTTCATCCTAATATCTAATGGAAATCTATTCTTCTTCATCTTAAGGCCATTGCCCCTTGTCCTGTCACTGCATGCACTTCTAAAACGTTCTTTTCCAGGAACTTGAATACACTACTAACTCATTTTTTGGGTCTAACTTTTAGAAACTTCACTTTTCCCCATCTTTCTCCTGTGGAAGGCATAGGAGGTTGAGAGGTACAAATCCACTGACTTGACTGGCAACTTTTTCAGTTAAATCACTCATCTTCCTTGAAAATGTGCCATGTGTCTATTAAAAAGCATCTCAGTCCCAAAGAACTTGTGCAGTCTCCCTCACTTTGTGTGATGGGATCCCCAGTCTCTGTCGGAGTTCTACTTAAGCATGACTATAATATAAATAACATTTTGTCCTCAAGATCTTTGAACTTAATTAACAGCAAAGGAAAAAAATCTTTCTTATCCTGCAAGGTGAAACAAAAAGGTATTGAATTTCAAATGGATGAAAGGAATTGCTTTTCCAGACAATGTACAGCTAATTAATGGAGCTTGCTATCACATGGTTAGTACTGAGAGAAACAGCATCATATTTGTAAATGAGAAGTCATTTTTAGGCATAAAAGCAAATCTTCATACAAAGCTCAGGTTGGAATAAATTCAGTAGAATACATTATACAGAAGATCAGACTAGATGATAATAATGGTTGCTCCTAGCCTTAAAAAATATGTGAATTTTACTAGGTGCTACCACGCAATGATGTCTAACCCTCCCAGTGGTTCATGGCATGTGCCAATCAATAGGCAGTGTCAGGACAGCACCTTCACCCATGGTAAACTATCACAGTGAGCCTTTAGAGGGTCAGGAAAGTCTAGGAGGCTTTTCAAACTGGTGGCTGTCACATCTCTTTCTAGACTGTAACAAATTCTTTCTTCTCCAGTCCTGTATGGGAGCCCTGGAGGCATCAGAAATATTCATGCTAGCATGGTGTGTCTTCAACTCTGTCTGCAGGTCTGCAGGAAAAAGCAGACAAGTCCAACAAGGTCTTGGGTGAAAAATATTTGGAGGAAGGTGAGGAAATCAAAAGGTCAATGTCTGTAATTAACTGTATCTTCTGACCTGTGTGACAGCACACACTGGACTCCCCATGCCCAATTACCCATAGCAGTATCCTTTCCATCCCCATCTAAATCCAAAACCACCCACAGGAACCTGTGGAAGCAGAAGGTCCATCCTCAGGTGCCCATGGTTGAGCTGCATAACTAAACCTTGGAAGCAGGACAACATTCCCCATGGACAAGCGTGTTCTATGATATTTCTGGCACTCTTTTCTACCTGAGATGTCCTAAGGTGGGGGCAGAACCAGGACATCTCATTTGTCTTTGTTGACTTATCTCATGTTACCTTACTGTGGTGGGGCATGATAGATACCTGATTCATCTCTGAACTGTTAAGAATATGTTAATGCTGACAAGGTACCAAGAGAAAAGGGGCACTTTTTGCCATGGTTGCACTTACCTACAACTCCAGTCATCTTACAAAAAATCAAGGAGGATGTCTTCTTGTGAATAGTTCTGCTGGGGTCATTTCAGATAAGAGAAGTTGTTTCAGCCTTGTGGGTTGAAAAAGTTATCTATTGCGGGGGGGAAAGAAAACAAAAAATATTAAAAGGGTCAAATCAGCTCCTTACACAAGTGGTTTTATACCACCGTGTACTTTTATGTAAAGTCACAGAATACACATAAAGTAAGCACAAAATGCTCTTGCAGGTGCTATTCCAGGATGTTTGTAATGGCAAGCTAGATTGTAAATTATTTCTTTGGAGGGCAGAAAGCGCAATGGAAATAATGTATATTATTCATAAAAATGATTGTCCTGCTCACTTGTATACCTCTGCAATTTATTCTGTAACAGCTTTTTACTTCCAAGAAATCACTAGCTAATGACATCTCAAACTTTAAAAAATCCACTTATTCACAACCCTGCCCCTGAGGGAATTCCTGCATGTTATCAGAAATTTTTCCAAAGATCATTAACAGATATTACAAACCAATTGAAACTGAGTATTTTCTTTGCAAATTACTTTTAACTTTAGAGCTATTGAAAAAAGACATTGAGTGATTTAATTTACTTAATCTTTCTACAGATTGCAGCTATGTGCATATCCTGTGATTGCATTTCCAACAAAAAGCATATATAACTATCCTTAATAGGGATATTTTTCTAAATTATCGTACAAGATCAGTAAGATCTCTGCAGATATTAATGTTTACTTTTTCATTTAGAAAATTGCACTCAAAAAAGAAATGGGCACCTTTATTCTGTTGTTGTTTTAGAAATAATAGCACACCATAATATTTATTTTATCTGCTATTTTAATTAAAACTCCAATAATCATTGTATCCTTTGAAGATACATTCTACTGATTTTTCTGAAGAATCACTGTATTTTCATTAGGCTGTGAAGACAAAGTTTCTTACACAGCAATGAGTATACCAAAAGAGATCCACTGTCATTTGCACCAATCCAAAACAGCAAGCTATTTCAGCAGTGGGGGGCTGGAGATTGTGTCTGATTCTGTACCTCATTGCCTTAAACTCCTCCCAGAGAACCATACATGTGTCAGCACCACTTCTGCAGGAAGTATGAAAAATCTCTTCCCCCTGAATATTTAGCATGCAGCTTCCTACCAAAGGTTCCTGCTCTCTTTGCAGATAAGAGATTAGGAGGGCTTGAAGCCCCTGAATCTTGGGTGGAGTATGAAATTATTGCCTTTGAATGGCAGTGAACACAGCTGCTGTACTTTGTGTACTGCTCAGTCCTGATCATGCGTTACATGTGCTTTACCAGGACACTCTTGGTAGACATATGGGTAAAGTTGTGAATAGTTTGAGGAGGTGAATCAGGATTAACTGCTGGGAAGTTCAGTGTAGCAGAGCTGGTGACTGACCAAGAGGCAGGAGCATAAAAAATGTTTTAGATGTCTTAAGAACTTTCTTATCAAAAATGCAGGTGATAAAAAATGCAGGAGGTGTGTAGATTTGGAACCTGGACTTGGATGTCAATATTCCACATGAGTATCATTCATCTCCTTTCTTGGCTTTAGGCCCAAAAATGGTTATTCAGAGAAGGACCCAGATTTTTCACAGCAAATATGTGCATAAATATCTTTTCATATCTTACTTTGAGTGGTGGGAGAAATGTGTAGGAAGGGTGACAGAGAATTTGCAGGTGGTAACACCTTCCTTGGATAGTCCACATCTTCCTGTCACAGCAGGGTGAGAGGTCTGCAACCAGCCTAAAAACTTCTCCATTCCCAGTACTATCAAACTCTCATTCTCTTGTTGTTTTCCTTTCCAGGTTACAACAAAAAGATCTCACAATTAAAAGAATTTTTTTTCCTCAGTGCATCAAAATACATGGGATCAGTAAAGCAAATTTCCAAACTGTGTCAAGAGCTGAAAAAATTACTCCCTTAGCTACCTGATGTCCAGTTTTGTCCTGCAAATATCAAGAAACCATGAATCTTTAAAAAGGTCCTCTGCCATTAGCTTGGCAACTTGTTCCTGTCACCATCCTGTGGAGGTACATAGGCATGAGAAAGAAGAGGAATTGTCTGCTACTGAGTAATTAATATCTGGACAGGTTACTGGGCTGGTTTTAACCCACACTGCACTCAGGTAAGTGCAGAGGAAGGATTTTCAGGATCCCCTGCTTATAGATGTGTTTCCCTCACCCTTCTGCCACACACTTGCAACTGGCACTACATTGTCATTTCAGATGGCACATACGGAAAGCCAGAGCCCCAGCATATTTGCTAGTGGCTTTTGCTTCTCTTAGAAATGCCACGTCTTGTGCATATCCAGCTTCAGGAACAAGTCAGTTCAGAGCTCCACACTCCTTCTGTCCCTGCCTTCCCCTTCCCAAGAGTCTTGTGTTGTTTGTGCTTTGCCACAACCACCCCCGGTGCTCTGGGCTCCTTCTGCAACTCCTTCTATTGGAGATTGGTGACAAAAGCCACCAGCATGCCTCAGCCAGGGGTGACCTGGACTTTCCACCTGCCAGCATCGGACGCTGTGCCATCAGCTGCCAAACTGGCACGGTTCCACCAGCTGCAGCAGCTGAGCGCTTCTGTTGTCACTCAACCCAGGACATCTCCACGGAGTCTGATAACACATATGCTAATTAATGCCAGTTGTGATCATTGGTCAGATCCTCTACTGGGTTAAATTGAACGAGTCCATTTAAGTCTGTGACAATTAGCAGCAGCTTAGAGCTGACCCAACGGTTTTCTCTATAACGTGAATATATGTCTTGTTCTAAGTGAGTAAAAGCCACCAAAAAATTGCATAAAAACTACCAAATCATCAGAAAATTAAATGAGTGTTAGTAACTCCCAGCCCAGGCCAAATTACAATGGTGGCAAATAAGTGATAGCTCCAGCTATGTTAACAACTCTCTGAACTATCCAAACTCCTTATAATAAAAGTAATTAGTAATAATAGATGTTCTTCTGGACACATTCACCTTTCTATAAAGAAAGCCTAATGAGTTTGTCTTTTAAAAAACAGACTATCAGAAAATTTTAATGTGATCCTGTTAACTTGTAAGCATAGTGTTTTACATTTTAACAATAGAACAGATCACATCTATTCTTGAATTCAGTTTTTAAGACTTGTAAAGCAAAATCAGTAAGTGAAAAGGAATAGTTCAAGAATTTTCTTTGTATTTTGTTTCTGCCCTTTGTCAAAATTGTATTTCAGTCAATACTCCCACCCTGTTAGGTTGTATCACCAGTCTTCTCAACCATAACAAGCAGAGTAGTAGAAGGTATTAAATCTTAAACAGAAGTAAGTAAGGAACTCCTGGAAATAAAGCAAAAGTTTGATAGGTTGTGTCAAAAGGAATTGCAGTTATTATTATAATTTATTATTTGTTAAGCACTGACAATGTGCTCAGTTCTGCTGATTAAGTTTTTCTGAGCAAGTTCTACTGATTATCTTCTGAGGACAACACACTGTACTACAAAGAAGATATGTGACAGCTATCAAGACTTTTGCTTTCAAGACTCACTTAGCGAAACAATTACATGCCAGTTATGCAGGTTTTATGGGGAAAAAAAGAGAGAAAATGCATAAACTGAGTAAATATCATGACTTTTGTGTTCACTAATTTTCCTACTCCAGATCTCTCACTTCAGTACTGTCTGACAATCTCAAAGTTACAGTGAGATTTGAGGAAGATCTAAAGCCTCATCCCTGCTTATATTCAGTCATAAGCATAATGTTATATTAGAGGCAAGCACACAGGCTGTATTGTTAGAATCTGTCTTTGGATCTGGGACTCAGACCCCAGGAAGGGCAGAGATAGCTGAATGGGGCCAACCTGAGAAAGATAAAAATCAGAACAACTCCAGACTCACACATACATTTCCTTCATGCCACAAAGCAGATCAGACAGAACTAGCCTGTACTCTACCCATAGGTGGTGATCTGACCTTACAAAGACATTCGGGGTGCAGGTGCCACAAGGGAGCCTTCCTATCCCTGCTAGGCTCTCAGGGCTGTTTCTCTAACAGACCTACTGTTAAGTTTCTCCAGCCTGAGCTATAGGCACGATTTTGCAGGGCATCTAGAAGTCAGGGATGTTGAGGTTTTGCTGGTCTAGAGGCACTGCAGATATTCTGTTCCTGTGAACTTTGTGCCTGGTTTATATCTACTTTAGTATGTAAAGAAATCACAGTTTCTTCCTCCACCTTTACCCTCAGATCATTTATGTATAGTTTACCTCCAGGGTGGAAGATTCCCCAAAACAGGCATTTGATGGCAAAATAATGTCCATGCATCTATGTGTGCACAGCAAGGGACATGGCTGAGGACTGCTGTAAGAATCTCTGGCCAAATTTGCGTGTCAGGAGGGTGCCAAACAGACATTGTCCCTTGCCCCAGCCCAGCAACACCTAGGCTTTCAAACCACAGCACTGCCAGGATTCCAGCTGTGCAGATGTTCTTAGAAGAAAAACTGCCTTTTGTCTGCTTCTATCCTTTAGCCTGCACACTTCCCTAAATCCTGCCAGCATGCTTGCTTTTTTTTGCTTTTTTTTTGTAACTGACAGAGAGAAGTGAGTTCTTATATAAATCTTTTGTGTGAAGATCAAACTGCACTCATGTAGAACTTTTTTTTCTTTTAGGGGAAAATCTGCCCTAAAATAATCATTCCATGTTATCCTCACAGAGCGCCTGCACTGCCTTTTAAAACGCATCCAAGGCCACCCTCAAGACCAGACTCAATGCTGTCAGGTGGCAGGCTGCAGCTGAAGTCTCTGTGCATGCAGGGAGGGCAGTGTGGGCAGCCCAGGGCAGGATTGGGGTCAGGGGCAATGCAGCTGGAAGGGACCGTAATCTGAGTTGCTCCTTGTAGACAATGTCAGCCTTTGTACTGATAGAAACTTGTGGGGCAACTCAGGAGCCGAGCTGGGTCATGTGAAAAAGGTGTTTCTTTACCTAGCCAGCTTGGACTCCTCAAGCATCCAGCTGGCAGACCCCGAGGCCTCAGTCAAATCTTGTAAGTTAACATTAGTTTACTAATAGACTGAGGAGTAGAGGATTTGGTTGAGAAAACATAGCCTTTCATTCACAAACTCAGCAACCCTTGTAATGGAGAGGAGAATCAGAAAAAATGATCGACTGATAACAGTACTATTGGGAAATTCTTTTTAAAAAAAGAAAATACTAAAGAAGATAGTCCCAAATTGCAGTACAACAGCAGTTTTAGGGTCAATTTCAGTGCTGCTTTGTGTTTCACTATTTACAATTTAATTACCAGCTAGAAAAATGATCAGGTATTAGGTGTAGTGAAGCCCCCATGTGTGATACCAAGCAGTAGAACAACTCACTGTAGAGGCTTATCTTTGGGAAGCCTCCCTCTCTCCCTTTTTCACTATTTCTCTTCATCTTGCTTCCTTCTTATGCTCCCAATTTCCTTAAATACAATATAGTCAGAGTTTTACATACATCTCTAGTTTTCCCAGAAGGAACAGCCCTTAAAATACAGCAAAAGTTCTTTTACTCGGGACCATAAAAATGGACTTGCACTCCAGTGCAGCCATCTAATAGGCAGATGAACCAATTCCATAAATATAAAAACATTCTACCTGAGCCAAAATTAGAATAAAACCCTAATCTAACCTTTATTAAAGAGGAGAAAAATCAACTTCCTTTAACTCCCCCACTCATTTTCCACCACTGTGATTTTCTAAATTTCAGGCAGGCCTGTGACCAAGAGCTGCACGGCCAAAAGTGGCTGGATGTGCTGTATCCCTGGCCCAAATGGAAGCAGGAAATACTAAACATCTTGCATGGAAGCCTGTTCTCATCAGGTTTATAGCCCAGCTTTTTTCATCAAAAGCAGTGAGGATAGTACACAGTTCAGAAATGCATCCAAGCATATGGGAGTCTCTCTACACTAATCCTCCTTTGAGCTTCATCCAGCACTAAATCAGAGCCACACCGGAGAGAGAAATAATGCAATAACGTGTGGAAAATACATGGCTCCTCTCTGTTAGGGTATGGAAAATCAAATGTGACTCAGTTTTCTCCTCAGAAATTGTTGGAGGAATATTAACAGAATAAAGCATGACAGAGACTGGAAAAGAAAAAAAGTCAGATATCTTTTAAACTTGCTTGCCCTGGGACTATACATCTTCATGCACCACATGTGTTACATGTGCAGGGCAGTCTTTACTGGGACAACACCAACAGCCTTGAAAGAGTAACACAATAATGACACAGGTGACAGAACTCACCTGAGAGGCAAAGAAAACGCCTTTTTGCAGAGTTAACCTGCACCATGTTCACAACATTGCAACTTCAGCCACCACTTCGAGAGGTCCCTTGAGAGCATCGCTGCTGGAATTCTGGGGAAGAAGGGCTGCACAGTCTTATTTTGCCAGGCAGAATACAGGGCTCTCTGTCTGAGGGAGAGAAAGGGCTTTGCTGAGCTCATTCAAGAACAAGAGGACCCTATGGCTGCACCGAGGCCCAGAGAGTGTGCTGTCAGTGCTGCCATGGACATGGGAGCACAACAGGCAGAGTGGTGACACCCCACTCTCCACTACAGCCTCTGGTCTCACCTACTGAAAGCAACAACAACAGATAAAGCAGTAAGAGGCAATCTACACAAACTTATTGAGATTCTGTAGCAGGGAAGCACAGTCTGACCAGGGCTTGAGCCCTTCATTCCTTTTTCTGAATGTCAAAAGTTAAAAAATAATTCAAAGTACAGCCCTGATCCACAGGCTCCAAACACCACTCTCTGGACCTGAGACAAGTGACAGAAAGAAAGGTTTTCAACAGAACTTGTTTCAGGAGTGCTGATGTGTTAGGGAACTGAAAAAGAGCTGTCAGCTGACAAAATTACGTGGTTAGTTAAGGATTCAAGTTAGGAGAGGGATTGGCTATGTAATTAACAACAGGAAAAAATAAATGCAGCTCCAAGCACACAAGCAGGTACACATGCAGAGCCAACTTAGAACTTGTAAACAGCCTATTGTTTCCATACATAAGGGCTCACAAATAGCCTATTGTTTCCATACATAAATGTCTTCAAACTAGAATTTTCTTGACCGCATTTATTGCCTTTTCCTGATTAAAACTGAGATGCATCCTTTCTTTCTCTTTTTTTTTTCTTAACTTATTATTTTCTAAAATAAAGAAATCAGTATTTAACCCTGTGCTCTTGAAAATTGTTCACCAGAATCCTGTTTGGCATACCTCAGTCTTGCTATCATGGAATCATAGTTATCACAAAATTGTTTAGGTTGGAAGGGACTTCACAGACCGTCTAGTCTAAACCTTCTGCCATGCACAGGGACACCTTCCGCTAGACCAGATTGCTCAAAATCCTATCTAACTTGTCCCTAAACATTTCCAGGGATGCAATATCCACAGCTTCTCTGGACAACCTGTTCCAGTACCTCACCAGCTTCTTTCTGAAGGATTTCTTCCTAATATTTAATCTAAACCTACCCTCTCTCAGTTGAAAACTAAATTACCATCTACAAAGCAGAGCATCTTTACTGAAGCTTAAGATTTTCTCCCATATGCTGTTTCTTTAGAACAACTTGTCTTCCTCTTTTTCTTTTTTTTTTCCCTTTTTTTTTCACAATATGCATCTGGTTTAAGGTGACTTTTTCTTTCCCAGCATATGGAGCTGAATGATGATGATGATTTAGATTATTTTAAATCACAGCCTATTAAATGGAAAAATAAATGCTGATATGTTTATATGGTTTACTTCTGAATGAATTATTGATATGAATGTGTAGTTGCTTCTATCATAATTACTCTTTATTAAATAAATATATTTTGAATTAGAGATCCTTGATTAAGAAATCACATTTTTGTCTGAAAATTGTTTCCCTGATGTTAGTATAAGAAATACCTTACATTACTCTATGGAGAAAAAAAAAAAGGCTGGTGAAATTATTCTATTTTTTATCTTTTCCTTTGCTCTGTGAATTTGGCAGTGCTTTGTGCATATTCCCTTTCACTGCTTCTTTCCTCTAATCAGTTAAGTGAGGCTCTTTCCCCTCTGTTGTTTGTGTGGATCTGTCACATAGCACCTAGAGACAGAAAAAAACATTTTAAATAGGAAAATGCAAAACACAAAAACTAAAGGATTGAGGATCAGATACCTGAAACTCCTCTCAACATTTTCTTTCAAGCTGAGCACGTTTCAGATTAATGGTGACTCTTTAACATAAATAATGATCTAATGAAATAAATATGAAATAGAAAGAATCATAAAAAGAGTTTTACATTTAAGAATGCCATCTGTGTAACACTTAGCCTAACAATGAAATCATTTCAGTGCCAAAACAGCTCACTCTGCTTCCAGCACAAGTTACAGGAGAGGGTAATGGCTTTGCAAAATGGCATAAAAGTCTGAGTTCAATCACTGAAGGAACACCTGGGTTCAAACTCACTCTGCTTCACACAGACAATGGATCTCGCACATGAGTTTTAACTTTGCCCCTGCTAATGTTTCTACCTCAAGTCATCACAAATTTTTCACAAAGCTGACGATTTTTATTGCAAGGAAATTTAGATATCAGAGGAGAAGATTTTGTGAGTCATTGTGAGGGGATCTTGCAACAACTATTACACTGATTCTCTGCTTTCCAGCTGTGGAATCCAGAGTCAGTATTGTCTGCTCTGTGTCACAGAATGGAGATGCTGTTTTAGTGAACGGAGAAGCCAAGCTCTTGCCATGTGCAAGGCGGCGCAGCAGAGCCACGCAGAACACAATGGAGGTTGTTTGTTTATACCAGCCAAAGAGAAGGGAACATATTTGTTTTGAGTGAGCTGTGTTAGAATACATATTGTTGTATATGCCCAGGCCTCATTACACCATGCTAGTCTTCAATATGGATCAGATCCTAAAACTGCTTGACATACTGAAATAAATGTGAGTTCTACCCACAGAACATCTCCAGACTTAGGCCTCATGTCTGTCAATGTCATCTCAAAAAAACAAATGTTCAAAGAAGAAAAACAACAAAAGTATCTTAGAGACTGTGGAGGATGCTCACGTGTGGTAGATGCCATTCAAGGGTATGCTAAGGAATTACTTGGAGAGAGAGAAATCCACATACCAAGACTGGAGAAAAGAGCAGGCCTGAAAAAAAAAAAAAAAGAGAGAAAATTAAGTTTCACTGAAAAAATATTTCTTATTTTTATTTCAGAAGTTACTCTTAAAGCAAAAGGAAATTCTTCCTTCAAATCAGCGATGAGGCCACATTAACATCTCCTCAGGCAAAGGTGGCCACAGCTCAAATTTTTCTTAAAGATGTAATTGTGAGGGCATTAACAGAAGAAGAGTTAAAGTGCTGTTCAATAAACAACCTGAAGTGCTGTATGCTGTATTCATATAAGGAAAGGTATGAGCCAACGGAGAGAGATGTTCAGCTGCAATCAAAGAGGATCTAAGCCTAACTGAGCACTCACATGACAGTTGGGATCATTTCGGATCCCTTCCAATGAAGATAAAATAGCATCAAAAGCAGAGAGCTTTTTTTCTTTCTTTTAAGGATGAAAACACAACATCATTAGTCAAATTTACTCTGAACTTCCACCTCCTCATGTTGATTTGTACTCAGGTTCAGTAAACATATATTTCCATCAAGGTAAATAAATGTAAAAGCCCATCAGTAACTTAATTGCTTAACGATGGATGCAGTGTGGGGTGTAACACTGTTTCTGACTATACTGTTGAAGTTAACGACCTCTCAAAAACACCTATTATACAGCTTGGCAGTAAAAAAAAAAATCTGTTCCTTCTTAAAAATCTGCTTATAAAATTTCAGCCATTTTTTCCTGATGTTGGGGGGGTGGAAACCTCTGAGGACAATTTTTCAGGTGGGCTGATAAAAAATGGAGTTTATTCATTTGAGATGCTATTCTTTGTGGGCCTGCATGACCCAGAGAAATAAGTCTCAAAAGAAGTAGCAAGTCTGCAGTGAGGACAGCCCAGGGAAAACATCTCCAGAATAAAATGCCCATGGTTCTGAGTGGGACCATTCGCTGGGAGGGATGGAGGGCTCAGTCTACAGATGTCAGGCAGGAGCCTGATCCTGTATGCGTAACACACATCTAGGGACATCTGGGAATGTGCCCTTCTCCTCTGTCCTTGCACACCTAGAGCCCTGGCTTGAGGACCCATGGGACAAAGCAGTTGTTCCCATTAAAACCAAGCCGTTTAATAGAGGTGAAGGAAAATCAGCTCTCCAGTGAGAGAACAGTGAGGGAGGAGGGTATGCCAAGCATCTGAGAGTGAAATCTGGCTCATGGTGGGCAGGCAGGCACAGTGCAGAGGCACAGCTGCCAGCCTGACATGATGGATCAGAAAAGCTACTAAGGAGCTGTGAGAGTCCAGGCAATTGAAACAAAGCAAAACATGACAAGGCAATAGGTCAGACCTTCTTTGCAATCTATCAATTAAACAAGCATCCACTTCCAAAGGAGTATGATGTCCTAAGCAGTAGACATCCCAGCACGTGATCGCTACTGTGACGGAGGGACAGGCTTACCAAAAAGAATTAATAATAATAATTACTAGTAGTGCTAATAATTTAGTTGAAGTCATTCTTTAGTGAACCCCTTTGAGGAAATAACATGGTTGGGAATTTTGGCTTAATTCTATAGTCCCATACCAGCTTTACGCAGCCTGTTGGAAAACAAAGATATGTTCAAATCTGTCCATTACATGGGAGGCTTGTGCCAAAATCTTGCCCTCCTTTTGGCTTGTGCCAAAATCTTAACCTCCTTTGGTTAGGCAGCAGGGTAAGTGCCACAGGGTTGGCTTCACCTGCTTTCTCCAAAACCATGAAGCTTTCAGAAACATTCATTTCTGCTGGCATCACTCAACAGCTCATTGTTAGGATTTGTTCTTATTGGCATGCATGAACTGAGACTGATGTACGGGGTGATCCACAGCGACAGCCTTCAGCCCCAAAAGTGGATACCTGCTTCCATTAGAGTCCAGGGACTCACACTTGACTTAGAAGGATATATGCAAAAATTATCTCTTCTCTCTCATTTGCTCGCGTTAAGGCTGTGTTCAGCCAAATTAGCGATCAGGCAAACTGTGCATGCAGAAATCTTCACTTGTACAAACTGTGCATTTTTTTTTGTAACATTCTAAGATTAAATATCTTGACAAAAGATGAAAACCCTTTAACAAATCTGCCCCTAGAGAAAAGTAACATTTTTTTATTCCATTTACTGTCAAACGACATATAGTTGAACACAGTCCTATAGGTTGATTTGTTGCTTTAAATAATGTCACTAACATCCAGATATCAATGTGATGGTGCAGAATAAAAGAGTTCACATTGAGCTAGATTCAATTACAGACCTAGAAATTGAAATTAAGTCTGATGCTACATGCTTAATTCATGTTTGTGTGACTGAGAAAGGGAGTATCTGGTTTACCTTGAATTTCCTGCCTTAGTGTGGTGAAAACATGACCCATCGCATTAATTAAAAAATAGTTTTCAAATGTAACTTAAGTGGTATTGCACTGGCAGGAGGAGACAAACACCTTTTTGTCCTTGAAATGTTATGTGATATAAAGGAAGCTGTTCAATAGCTTTTTCTGCGATTCCAAGGTAGGTCTTACAATTCTCACTGAAGGACAGGAAAAAAAGGTATGATGACATCTCACAATGAGAAGCTAAAAATTGTGCTTTACTTAAAAAAAAAAAAAAAAAAATTAAGCGTTTATCACTCAATACCCATAACCCTCTTCTGACCACGCTGTTTAAATAGGTGTTTATAGGTAGTTATGACACATTTTATGCAGGCTTATAGCTATCTAATTTGAGCATTATACCCGGGTTGGTATTTTCTAGTTTAATACCTCAAAATACCATATCATAGCAATGGACTTTCAACCAGCACACATTTGACTACTGATTTCACATATGCGGCTGGGACTAACTTCTCTCCTAATATGGTGATGGCACAGGCACTATTTAAATGATTCCTGAGCCTTGTAAATATACACCAGATGTATCTTTTGTAAATGTTACATTTTTCAACATCTCAGCATTTGTGAATAGTTGAAAGCAATGCCAGCCATGCTTTAATGGGGCACAGAAGCGTATTGCATTCAAAGAAATGGCACACCATTGCAATAGTCAAAATTACAAGCGCTGTCAAAAAGCTACATTTTTGCTTTATTGATTAGCACCAGGTAACGCAGTGCTTCACATCATACCTTCATACATGCCTCTTTCGGCTGACGATGTGACGATGTTACACCGCACACGGGTAACACAGAGAGGGATGAGGAACTTTCAGGGCTGCACTGGGGAAGGAGAAGGGCAGAGAGGCCTGGAGAGCCACATGTGTCACCTCTGCCACTATGATGGCCAGAAGTGGAGGCAGAAGGGCTGTGGCAGCTGGAACTCCCACAGCCATGGACACAGCCCACTGCCACAATGACATGCCCACTGTCCCAGAGCTGGTGAGGGAACAAAGCTCACCTTTCCCACAGGTACTGATGCAGTTTGAAGCTACGATACATTTTCCTACAGCTCAGGCTGCTGCTGCTTGGTCCTCCCTTGTTGCAGAGCTAACTCAGCACCAGGGAGATGTATCTCCCATCAGGGACCTCTCCATGACCACAGGGTAAATTCAGCTGTAAAAAGAAGCTATGTCCTGGGCTTTTCCAGACCTCTCTTTTTCCCTAAGGTTTTCATAGCTTTCCTGTGTCATTGTAGAAACCTCACAGAAGACCCAGGAGCACCTGTGTAACAGGTTATGAGAAATGTACTCTCTGCACCTTCTACCTCCTGGCACTTGCCCTACCCATCACCACCACAACCAAACTGCCCCCATGGTCACCCCGTTAGCACCAGGCAGTAAAAGGAACTGTCAGAAATCAGCCATCACATTTGCTAAAAATCCACTTTTTTGTAGAATTTGTCACCAAACTCTTCCACAAATAAGAGGAAAGACCTTTATAATACTGCACAATTACTGTTATTTGCAAGGCAGAGTGCTTTTGCTCAGTGAATTTTGTGCTGGAATTGCACCATGCGACTCTGTTCAGCAAATCAGCTAAAATCAGAGCTAGGTGACACAGGACAATAAACTTAGAGGGAATGGACTAGACATAATGCCCCACTACAAGTATTATTTCCAAGTTCACAGGCTTGCAAATTAAAATGTCCCTGGATCACTGCCATAAAAAAGAACATTAAAAATCAGGGGAAGAGGTCTGGGCATCTGTTAGAAGAATCTAATATATACCAAATGTGTATGTTGAGCTTCTTAGATATATGCATTGCTGAAATATAGCCTACGATTAATGTAAAAGCAGAAATATTTTAATTGTATTTTTCCATTTGATATTCAAATGAAAAAAATATATCTTATTAAACACAACACTTGGCTTTGCTATTTTAATAAAAAATAAGTTGTTGAGGAAAAGAAAAGCAAAACTACTGATTCCTTTCCTTATGATGATCAAATGAGCCTTTCATGTTTGTATCTTATACTTCACTTTTTAGTATTTTGAGGCAAATAGCAGATATCAAAACTTAGTAAATAATCAAAGACTTATTCAGTTTTCCAAACTGTCATGCTGCTTATCTTGTAATAACTGATCTCTTAGGTAGCATAAGCTATTTAATTGCTACTGAAGATTATTTGAATGAAAAAAGAGACGACATTCTCCCTTACCCCTCAAAAAGACAAAACTATATTCTTCAAAAAGACACATGCCGACAGATAGATTCTGATCTCTTCTACACATGCACAAGTGCAGTAGCTAATTTTACAAGATTTGATAGGAGCTGTGTATCTGAGATTACACCCTGTCCTCCAGACTGCACATTCCACATGGAAAATGACTTAATTTGGAAATAAATTTTGTTTCTGATAAATCCAAACTCTCAAGTCTCTGGGCATCCAAAGAACCAAACCTATTAAAATATTGCAAAAAACAGCTACTGTATTTTAAAGGGACTTTTTACCGTGTTGGCAAAGTGTGTATTCATGTATCCCCCCTGACATGATAGACTGTAATGGCTCCAGTCTGTCATGTCAACCATCTGCATATTAAACAGTCCCTAAGTACACATTGACACAGCAGACCCTAATAGCTCTGAAGCAGTAACAATCTATTGAGTCAATAATATGCATGTTAAAGAGCATCTCCTGTACTTCCATCAATATCTTTTATCTTTTCCTTAATTTGTATTTTCTTTTTGTATGTATATTCAGAGTTAAAGTTTTAGGAACCTTTATCCTTTAATGTGCTGCCACAGATGTGAAACATGTGGCATAGAGAGGCACATGCAGTAGCAAGATCCTTCCCTAGTATTGGGGCCAGACTTTAAAATAAGAGCTGTAATATTTTTACACCAGCAGCACACATTCTTCCAGATAACGTGGAAATAGCCCCTCTTTTCTGCTGAGCTGGACCCAGTGACAGTAAAAAGCCTGGGAAATGCTTTTTCAGGAGTAAAAAACTGACAGTTTCACATGCTTTGGATGGAGCCCAGTGTGATGATATTCATTTCCTATTATGCATTTCCTTCTAATTAAATGAAATAGGTCACAGGGGGAAAATGAAACAAAAGACAAATGTATTTACTTACAGTAATATCAACCCCCCAAAAACGGCAATCAAAAACAAGAGAAAAGATAATACAAAACATACTGTCTCTTCACTAACTTGGAATTATGTGTTACCACAGTCTAAGCTCATTCCTGCGTGATCTTTTATACCATAGAATAGAGAGGCTGTTATTTAAGCGTAAGAAAACGGAGATTTAACTTCTTTTGTCTAAATAACTGGAGAGAAAAATTCTAATTTTCTTTTGCTCAACTTCACATCACCATACCATGCTGCTATCCTCTCGCTCCCTGATCACAGGGCTTTCGCATCTTCCAATCTTCTTGCTCTCTGTAAGCATCACAATTTGGCTTACACATTTCAAAGTGAAACCAAAGTGCAATTTGTGTTTCCAAAATGTAGACCTGAGGACAGGGAGGTCACTTGACCCTATCAGCAGATCTTAGCTGTCCTAAATTCCTTTCTCCTTTCCATTAATTTGATACCGATGTATCTTTGATGCACATAGGGATTTATTCCAGCATATTCTTGATTAACTTTCACTCCAGTGAGGGCAGAATCATGGTACTCTCCCTCTTGCTTTCCAGGAGTGTGCAGTTCATCCTACCCCTGCCTTGCACTATTCCATGTTCCCAAGGCACACCAGACCAGATCATCTACTTCTGTGCCTCGTGCAGTATAGTATCCCCTAACTCCATGACAAGCACTGAAGGCATCTGTCTTCTAATAAGTCCTTGGTAACAGCAGGTTTTTCTTCCCAATGCAATGGCAGTGAAGTGGATCAGATGCCCACATGCATGCCCAGGGATTTGCCCAGCCATGAGGCAAGTCCTCAAAACCTTATACTAGTGCATAAACTTCATCTTATATGTGTTGTCCACTGTGTGTCTTATCTGGACAAGACTTTCTAAACTATGGATAACACATTACTCACAAAGCCACACAAGTTACCATTTGACTTTTTTCACTGAATATTTAGCAAGCAGGTTTAGTTTTGGGCAGGATATATTTTTCTTCCTAAATGAAAAAAAAAGCTATTGAAAAAAACCTAAGCAAATTAACAAAACCTAAAGAATGGGTGTCATTAAAACAAAACAAAACAAAACAAATACATTTAAAAAAAAAAAAAAAAACCAAACACAAACCTGAAAGTCCTGCTATGCTGCCTCTATTTCCTTTAGCTGAGGGAGGTAGCTCTGGAAGCACTCATTCTGGACAGAAATGGTTCATTGTCAACTCCTTTCTGTGATGCTGCAGTTCATCACCAAATTATAGATGAAGCGCAGTCCTCTCTCTACTAATTATGGGTTCAGCCACGTCCATTTAAGGAAAACAGGTCCTCTCTGGACCTCCTGTGGGAGCTCTCTTACTATTCACTCTGGTACTTGCTGTGTAGCAGCTACAGCCCCGACCAGTCCAGCCGTGGTGAAGGTAGGAACATCACACAGCAACCACACAGCAGGTGTGGATCACTTATAGTATCCCTTGCTCGTCTGGCACTTCTGTTTGTGCCTGATGAGCCTTGTAGGCTTCCCAGAACTTAACAGAATTACCAGACAATGGCAAAGAATGACGGGAGGAGGGCCGCTGACCACACAGCCAGAGTCCTCTAACAAAAATCCCCTGCACCAAGGCTTACTGGTGGTTCACACTCACTCTGGATGGCCAGTGCTTGTGGGAGTTGTTACATTGATTTAAGTGGATAGGTTACCCAGTTCAACTTCATGGACTTTGAGTAACCAATACCTGCCACCAAGAAAAAGAAGAGCCACCAGCCTTGGTCTGTAAATGAGATAGGTAAGGGAGATGAAGGGAGGGCAAGTGAAAGAAACATAATGCTGTAGGTGAAGTGGTCCATGCTCCCCCAGCAACCTTCTTGTGTATGCAGCAAATGTAAGGTGGGCTTGCTTCCTGCTGCCTTGTCCCCCTCCTGCACAGCTTGTTCCAGAGCTAGCTGCAGCTGAGCCTACCCCAGGCTGACCTGACCCTGAATGGAAAAATTCCTAATTACTTCAGTGAAGAGGCCTCTGTATCCTCAGGCAAATGCAGGAGAATAAAATTTGGGTAGGGCTATGACTTCACTGCCTGTGTGCATAGGATGTCTCCTTTCCTACACAGAACAACTCTGGCCACTCTTTCCACTTTTTTGGTTCTCAGTGTTCATCACTGCACCTGGAGTTATCTCCCATTTACCAAGGAGTTGATTTAAGTGTCTGACTCAGTCACATATGTTTGGCTCCCTTATTCAGAGTAAGATTTGGCCTACTAGCTGTGAAAACAGCTTATATCACATGTGCTGCAAAACCTAGCCAGAACAGGCTGAATAAAGGATGAAGTTTAATCATGGAAATGTTGACCTACAAATAGAGAACAAAATGTTAAACCACATGGTATAGGGTGCTGCATGCCCCAAATATCAAGGAGAGGAAAGAAGAATTGAACACATTTGGAAAGTAAAGCTTACTGTTTGGGGTTTGGTTGGTTTTTTTTTTTTTTTACTTTTTCTTTCTACATATTCGAGAGTCAGACCCACACTGTTCCCGCTCGCGATGACACCCTGGCATCCGAAGAACAACATGACACCCACCACAAAATGCTGCTGTTGGCTGGCGCTGTCTAAAGCAGCAAGGTTTGGTGAGGGAGGTGAGACTGCCAAAGGCGGGCAAGTGGGGGTGTCACAGAGAGTGGGACCTGGCCACCAGCGTGACTCCAGTCTACAGGACCTGTACAAACTGGGGAGAGGTAAATGTGATGAGGATTAAGACCCTTTTCATCCTGTGTCCTTGAAAACTAGTCCTGGGTTACTGCTTACAGCTGGTGGGTGAGGAGCTGTTGTCATTATTTACATGCCACCTTTCAGCTGGGACATCCTCACCTTTGTGTGTTTCACACAAAGAAGTGCAGTGTTTTTGGCAGAGAGTCCATTTTCATTTTTAATCACAGCCATCACACAAACAGTTCATCTCACAGGATGGGAAAACTTTCTCACAGGCTTTATTTAACATAATTTTAGGTGTTGCAAAGGACAAAGAATAAATTTTTTAATCAGTCATCTTGCTTTCAATAACTCGTCAGCTTTGTCTTTAGGTACATTACATTTTACACAAACGTAGTTAACAGCAGCCGGCCAGGCCTTACTGACTGACAACTGTTCTTTACAGGATTTCTATGTGCCAAGGAGCTGGACAGTAATATCCATTTGGTATTCATGGAAAGTACTAGCAGAACAATAATGACAATAATTGCTTCTGATTCTTGTGTTTACAACACTGCCAAAGTATCATTAGAGCCTTATTTATAGATAATAATGCTTATTAATCACACATATTTGAATTTTGGAATGTATTAGATTAATATTCTTTTGTAACTTGGTTCTGTACTAATGCTACGAAAAGCACTCTCTGAATGTAGCCCACTGGGAAGTGCTTGCCTCAGTAAAGTAAAAGCATCCAAGCCATCTGCAGGTGAGGGACAAAGGGCGTACCTCTTCCTCAGCAGGCAAACACCAAAGCCGAACACACCAGTTCCAAAAGCAGCTCCTTTGGATTAAAATCAGGGGCAGACGCCTGAAAAACAAATACCGTGAAAGGTGTGATAGTAGCATTGTTCTTGAGCTTGTTTTTTGATGCTCTATGAAAAGGTTTGCTTTCTCCTGCCTTATAAAGAAACTGAGTTTGGAAGGTGAGGAACAGATCCATCTATCATCTCACTCTCTAACAGCCCATTCTACCCCATGGGTGAGTTTAGCCTGGACCTCAGGATCCCTTATCAGTCGAGAGGTTGGCAATGAGAAATAGAAGAAATATACTACAAAAAACATTCTTAATTTTGTTTATTAAATAATTTCAGCTTTTCTATATCAATGTCTTCTACAATTCAATAGCATGATAGAAGGAAAGCAAATTTTTTAAAAAGACATTTACAACAAGTGAAAGTGCCACCCAAATCGAAATACCAACTGCCCTATATTCATATTCTCTTTTGTTTCCCTGTACCCATTACAATGGTAAAAAATACACCAAAGCAACAACCAACCCTCCAATTTTTAGTGTGTAATCATCTCCATAAATTTGTGTTTAAATAAATAAAGTCCCAAACAGTGTAGAATGTTTTTTATTAATATTAATATTATTATTATGTGTTTTTAGATAGTTCTTCAAGCAAATTTGCAGAGGCTCTGTCAGTTTAGACATGACATTTCCATCTGTTTGGTTGGTTTTTTTAATTTTTACCCATTGCTGATGCAATGTAACTAACACCAGAAAGTAGAAAAACTGGGAAGCGGGGGAGCCAGTGTTGTATTTTATTCTGAGTGTCCATTTTGTGTTTTTTATGGTCCTCTCTGCACAGTGAGGATAACCTGTTGCTAAGTGTCACAGCCCCATTGTCTCCAGGGGTCTTTTACAGTGGCAGATTATAAAATAAATAAATAAAATGCAGAATCTTTAAATTGTGAAGAACACTTGTGACCTTGTGACTTCACTGCAACTCCCCCAAGCTGCCCCTAGCCAATATGTTTTAACAGACAAAATTCCAAAGTGTGATGTTGCCCCTTTAAAAATGTATTTCACCTATTAATATTCCAGTGTGCTTTGCTTAGAAAATGCCAGTATTGAGGTTTCCCAGGAATTTCAAACCTATCAAGACAGCCAGTGCTGAGCACAGACCAATCATTTCTAAACGAAGCCAGGATTTAAAATTTAAAAAACCCTAATAGAGAGATTAGAGATGAAACTAAAGCGTAAATTTGGCGTTGGGATGCAGAGGGAAACCCCGTCCTTATGGGTTCTACACAACAAAGCAGTGCATCCCTCCCACCCCAGAGCCCACAGCTCCTGCTGGGGGCTGTGGGGCCAGCTTGTTCTGGGCATTGCTGGGAGGAGGGTCATGGCTTCAACCACCACTTGCAAACAAAGGAATTATTCCCCAAGTGTGGGCACAGGGGGTGCACAGAGCTTTGGACTGGGCTCCTTTCCCAGTTGCAGCTCAATACCATCCAGCCAAAACTGATCCCAAAACTTGACAGTACTGCACTGAGGGGATTTTGATCAATAACCAGTCATGGGTTTTTGATTCTTCTGCTAGTCCTCTTCTAAAAAGAAAAGCCGTAGCCCCAGATGCACACAACCTGCTACAGCATTCACTGGCACAGAAGCGTGTACGGATACTCTCCTCTCCATTGGTGGCTCCTCAAAAAGTTTGCTATATCTTCCTTAGGTTTCAGAGTGTTGAAGTGCAAAAAGATGTCCCTCTAATAGGTGTTTGAAATCTGCATGTTGTTCTTTCCTAATAGTAATAAAAATAGCTGAAAGAGTTCAATACAAGGATCCTAATTTCAGAAAGGCAAATCAGCAGCATATAAAATTATAATTCATCCTCTGCAGATTACAGACTTCTTATTTTCTTAACTGAGTAATGAACAATAATTTCTATTGTTTCTGTCTGGTTTTTTTCAGGGCAGTAGTGGTTTAATAATTTTTTCTACCTCTTAGAAGAAAAAGGCAAAGCAAACAGTTATTTCATGAGGAAAGGTACTTTTGCATTTTATATACGTATGGCTGATACTAAACCCACACAAAGATAAAAACAGATATTTCCAGCTATAGAGTTTTACTATTTATTATTGCCAGAGATACACAAGTCATATTTCCATGTCAACATTTGACTTTCTAAAGAAAAATAGGAACTTATTTTTTTAATACTGAGTTTTCATAGTTCTCTCTGAAGTCAAATGAAGGAGTAAATGCCCAATGTCCTTGAAAAATTATCACTTTCCTGCAGTACCCCTTTTCTGTCCGTATAGAAATCCCCAGTATGAAAAAGATGCCCCTTTTGCACAAAATAAATACATGACCCTCCAAACACTGCTCACATGCACCAGAAATTTCAGCATGAGTCAGGGTATGCAAAATCAAGTCTGAAGCAAAACCCAAGCAAACAAGCAGTAAAATCACCCTCCTAACATCAAGTGCAGTTACTACAAGTTGCATTTTTAGATTTGTATATATGGGATAGGAGAATCAAGATAGAAAAGTCTTGACTGGCTTTTCACTAGCGGTGAAAAGTGGTCATATCTAGCGGCCACAAATGATTAAAAAGGAGAATTCAACAGAAAAAGTTCTAAATATAGAGGAAGTTTCATAAGTGTCTTTTTGTAGCATCATTTTATTTGCTATATTGTTGGGACAATATTACTCTGCTTGTATTTAACATTTGGGTTATTGTCAAATAATAACTCTTCCTGTTATTGGATTGCATGATTATTGTGTATTTATCCCTCTAGATGTGTATCATGAACATTTTTCTTCCTTAGTTTTATATCATGTATAACTACTAAAGTCTGGAATTTGTAGTTTCCCATCACCTTCACAGAACTGTAAGACACAAGCAGGAATAAAAATAAAAACATACCTTTTCATCAGGTAGTCTGCTAACCAAAAGGAGAAATAATAAGCTTTGTGTATTTCTAAATAGTCCTCTAGGAGTCTTATACTTGTACTACATGCTATATATTGTATGGTTTCTCCCCCTGTTATGACATCTCTGATTACTTTAAAAAAAACTCTCAAAAATATTGAGGCTCAAACCTTTGTATGGAATACTTTTAGTACGCTTTTTATTCTGACAAGATTAATAATTATCCTATAAGCATGACACAGTGTTTTTAAATGTTTTTTTCTGCTATGAGTTAGGACTGTGCACATAAATGTGGAAAGAAAGGTTGTTTCACAGCAGAGAAATGCATATTTAAACAAACTGTGATTAAATGGTAAAACTGCTTAAAAAGGAAAAGCATGGGTTTTTTCTCATCATAGTTATTCTGAATTTAAAATACTCGTAGTGAGTTTCCAAAGAACATTGGGCATTTGCAATAAAAACACAAGCTACTGAAATTAATGGGAGATAATTGAGAGAACCATAGCAAATGCCCCAGAGCTTTGGCCAAAACTGGACAGAAAAAATCCACTTGTGTAGCAAGAACCAAATGTGTCCCCTCCCCACCATCACCACCCTGTCCTCTTCTGTGGCACTTGAAAGTAGCTCTTAGTGGGAGCAACTGGCTATGTGGGAACCAGTCTACGGGCTAACCAGACTTTTGCTGTCCTTCAACAGGACACCTCACAAGTGCTAACAGTCCTCACGGCAGCCTTAAGTCTTCCCCAGAACACACAACTGCCCTTTCTGCTAAGTTCATACACATTCAGCACTTCCCACTGATGCAAAGACACGGGCATGGAGTTATTTTGATTGTTCAAAATGCCCAGTAATGTGTTTCCTATGTATCAGTATGTAGTGACCACAATTACTGCTGGCCTGATCCACCAGTCAAAGTGTGTAGGATGCAACCCTTAGATGACTGAGGCTGAAGGGCAAGATCAATGTGGCCCCCAGACCTAACTCCATTCACATCAAATAAATGCAAAAATAATCTCTCCATTGATATTAATGTCTAATGGAAATATTTCAGGGATCAGAATGAGAGCTAGATCCTGCTCATTCCAATCAAACAAAACTCCGTATGGCTTCAATTAATGGGAAAAGTAAGATTTGGCCTATCTTGAGCAGCACAGGTTTGGCTTCCAGAGGCTGAGCTGTACCTGCTCGTTGGAGAAGGACAGTGAAATATTGGAGCCAATAGACTTTGAACTAAGAAGACGGCCAAGGGTAACACCTTGTCTGCACTAAAACGGATGGCAAGGCAAGCAGTGGCACCCAATTTGCCCCTGAGCTTTAGTGTTGGGCTTCAACCATGGTGCAGTCTTTCTGCTAACTTTACTTGAAGGAGTAATTTTAAAATAATTTAATGCCAAGTGCCAGAGGGCTCACTTATTCACAGCATTAAACTGAATCATATCAACTCCCATTCTAAATATAAAATATGATTGCATTACTTGACTTCATACTTTTTATAAAGGTCCCATTGTGGTGAGATTTCACAAGGTATAAAAGCCCATGCAGGTATTATGGGCCATATCAGCCCATTTCATCTAATTAATCATCTACTTAAAAATGTTTTTCTTGTATCGTAGTAGGAAAAATAAAATAACTGTTCTTTATCATTTCCAAAATTAAATTCATATTCCATAATGACCATATTTCATGTGCAAAATAACAAGACATGCTTACATACCTGGCTTCCCTTCTTTAGTGAGTTGCTTCATTTGTAAAAACGTTGCATATAAGATTAGAACGTAAAATGAATTACTTGGTTTTTCTTGATATGAAATCTTGTTTAAGTTCACAGCAATTTTAAATATGATACATTTAAAATATTAATATTTCCCATCTATTATTCACTGACTTTCAGGTTTCATCTCAAGGTAGTGGCACTTCATATTTCAAAGGAAGAACTGTTTCTTTTTTTCAGTACTAATGTTCTATTAATTCACTTTGTAATATCATTCTGGTTCAGACAAATAAAATTGCACTAAATTGCTTATGCCAAGAATCATGCTAAAGTTGTTGGCACTATATAAAATTCCATATTCCATTACTATTTTATAAGTTTTTTATATTAGTGGCATCTTTTTAGGCATAATTCATAGTCGCATTTAGTTAGTTCTAGAAGGGCAAATACACACAGACGGATTTTTATGCTGAGATGGGGGTGCATGTAGGTATTTACAATAAAGTCAGTAACTAAAGTGACTTCTGCAATGTACCAGATACAAACTCCCAGTGAACTACCTTAATAGCTTTTCCTTTATGAATATTTTTTTTGAAGGGGGGGGGCAGTTTTCTCTTCCAGCATGTTTTTTTATCACACACATGTATAAACACATACGTACGCACACACATATATTTGTGAAAAATAAATTTGTGTGCATACAGAAATACTTGAAAGGCCTCACATGCATACTATGCAACATATGCCATTCAGGTAATCACTACATACAAAAAGAAAATTCATTTTATAGATACAAATAAAATATGTGAAAGAAGTCCTTAAAGGACCCATAAAGGCCTCAGCATAGATGGATTCTTCATCACACTTAAAGAACCATGGATATAAACAAATCTTTTAATATATCCATTTATATTTTATACTCTTTACATAAAGTCCACGTAGCTACATAGCTATTTACAGAGATGTGGATGAAAGTTACACCTGGGTAAACTGAAAACTCTTTAATGAGTCAAGCAGCATTCAATCCTATGAAACGCCTTGCTGGAGTGAAATAATTACTAAGTGCTGGAGCAAGAGTAGAAAACAGCAGTAAAATCACCTGTAAATAGATGTGAGGAACTATAAATACACTTCAGTATTTGTATAGCTGACTTTCTCTGACTGTCATCAAAATCAGATGCTCAGGAGAAAGAAATCCAACTCCAAGGAATGCAGATTAATACATATATATGAATATATAGTCTGTGACTAAGTTTGTAATATTGTTAATAATGTATGCTTCTTTTCTAATGCCTAGTATTTGCTCCCTCGGCAATTTTAAAAATAAGAAAATTTGATCCAACTCTTTTAAAAAATAAATTGCAAAAATAACTGATGCAAATCCCTGTCACTTGTGAACACAATGAAATTATACAGAAAGGAGCAAATGTAGGAGAGGCTCCTCCTCAAAAATAGAAACGAATGCCCCGTTCCTATAAGGTCCTCAAATGGCAGGATTTTGAAACATGAATTAGACCTCGAATGCAAATTAACTTCAGAAGGCAGGGAGAGGGGGGAAAAAAAAATAAATCAGAGAGACATACCAAGTCAAACGCTCCTTTTCCTGCCTATCTCGTCCGCAATGGTAAAACAGGCTAAACAAAACAAGTGCACATCAAGATAGAGCCAATTAAGGAATAGAGAGCGGGGGGGAGAGGGTGGAGAGGAAGGCACCTCACTGAGCACATGGGGAGTGGGAGCGCAGCATCCCACCATACCTACCTTATGAGTGTTCAAAGGAAGACAACTGGGGTAAATTGGAGCCAGCTTTGATTTTTGCCATCCGGTTGCACTCGGGATGCGGGGGAGTGGGGTGGGGCAGAAGGGTCGGTCTGGGCGGAGGTAGACGGGTGATAAAAAAGTGGGGGTAAATACTGAGCGAGAGTGCCGAACGCTATGCAAATAGTTTTTGGGGTTTTTTTATTATTTTGGGGAAGGCTGGAGGGGGGCACGATGAGAAAAGGCACCGTCAGTGAGGTGAGTGGGTCCCCGCACCCCCTCTCTCCCCATCTGGAGCAGTCGCTGCTC